ATCGAGGAGTCCCGTGCAGCCGTGGCACACTAAAATTTTACAGAACTTTTACGCCGGCCGAGGGATCGACGTTCGAGCCTCTTCAAAAAATCGTTGCTCTAACATGATCAATAGAGAACAATTTCGTAACATCGTCTATGATTTTTCAAATACAATTGCATGTCGTTCGAGATCAAGACAAACGATCTATTTGCACCCAGAGCATAAATATCGTTATTTGACTATTCAGTTTCTGACAATTATTTATATTATAATTAATTATAGTACTATTAATTAATTAATAATTAATTATAGTAGAAAGACCAACAATCTATCGAGAAATGTGTTGCAAAAATTGATAGATAAAATTATAAATGACCCTGAACGTACTCAGTCATATTTTCGTTTTCGTTATACTTCCTTTTGATTAGTTCACATCGTATTTATCGAACAAGGCATATTAAATTTTTTGATATTAAAAAATAGGAAAATAAAGGATTGGACAAAATTTAATATCTCTTATTCGATAAATACAAAGCGAATTATGTCCGGAAACAAAGCAATATTGGCACAGTAATTGGTCATTTCGCAGTAACATTTCTGCGCAAGCCTGTGTTCGAAATAAAAATTCGTCGGCCATTCTCGGATGATAAATTTGAAACGTCCGCGGAACGAAGCGAGTTGTTGAAAGCCTAGGAGAGAAGTTTGACGGACATGGTAATCGAACGTGGAAGAAACCGGCGAGCGGTCGATCAGCCCGGAAAAGGTCGGACCACGGTGACGGGAATCCGTGTCGCGCTTTTACCAGATTTTACGCAGCGTGTAAGAGCGTAGAACCGATCGGAATCGCACGGTATCGGGCACGGACGGAACGGCAGCCCGACGGAAGGCCGGACCCTCGGTGTCCACACGTTGACGCTGACAACTATCGAGCGGCTGGTGGTATGCGGCTAATAAGGCACCAGGAAGCCGAACGGCGGCCAGGAGAATCCAGTAACCCAGTGACGCATGAGAAACTGCCGGTACTAATCGGTGACGTGAGAACCGTACCGAGATTTAGATACGAGCAAAGCAGCTCTCGTCCGTTCGGAGGCCCCGGGACACTTCTTCGGCTTTACGACTCTCTAATAACGAGATAGAGGAGCGAAACACCGTGCCGTGTCTACAGGTGAGCCCCGCTCTCTCGCGTTACCGGCACGGTGAAATTCCGCTTTTGTGAACCCGAAAGAAAGCATCTATTCAGCCGCCTGCCGGATCCGCGGCGACGGGCTCGCCGCCAATTTTCATCGCGCCTCTTTTTCTTACCTCGCTGCAACAACGAGCCGCGCCGTTCTGCCGCGGCATTTTTAATGCACGTTCCCGATCTTTCTGTCCGCGTTTTCTGCACGACAGTCCTCGGCGACTCGCGCGGCCGCGCGTGCCGCTAATTAAGACACCGCGGAAACGGCCCAGCGTTTTCTAGCTTCGTACAATTTTGCTTAATTGCGACGCTAAATGTTTCCCCGTCGCATTACCGAATTAAACGTTTCACTCTACTTGGTTGTTGTTCCAACGATTTCTGTCGATCGCGAGAAATCGCGAAGGGAAAGGGAGGCGTCCGACGACTTTGCGATCTTCGAACCTTTGCGTTCCGGTCGTGCAATCGTGTTTCGTTTAACACGTTCCGTGCCACGTGTACCATCGATGGTACACGCTTGCATGTTTACTTAGTGAACTGAACAAATTGTTTACAAGAAATTTAGAACCGAAGAATCAATTTCCACCGCAAGAATGGGCGTTGATAAGTTTTTGTTACGTTGTTATGTGTACGAGAATTAATAATTGCACGTAATACATCAAGTTTTAGTAAAATATCAAAGTGTGAAGATTCGAGTAAAAAAAGCTCGGCACGGAACGTGTTAAATGGCGAAGACGAATTCATTCATTGTGCAACTGATCGTATCAATTTGCACGTTCTAGAAAATTCTGAGAAGATGTACATTCGATATCTTAGTTCGTATGTAGATCGCGGATTGTATGCATTTGGAGCAGAAATGGATAAATGGAACGCGGAAAAATGAAGACAGAAGATGCATTTAAAGATGCCACGGTATTACTAGTAATATGCTAAAGGAAGAAAGACAGTTTCTAGCTAATTTCTGTTCGATACAAGATGCGACGAAGATTGTTACCTCGCACAAAGATCGGCAATCTATTCACGAGCATACAGATCCGCGTGAAGATGAGCAGACGGACGCTTCGATATTGCGGTTCCAATCACAGGTGGTTCGAGGAGAATTCGCCGAGCCGTCCCCGTTCGCGGATCTCGCGGAAAGAAATATTCAGGTTACGAAATTGATGTCGATGTCCCCGGGAGAGGATGCTGATGCGGGGTCCGGCGAGATAAAAGAGGCGGCGCAACGTCTCGCGATTAATGCACCGTGTCCCTGGCCGCTAACGAAAGTCTCCTCTTCCTTTCAAAATAATTCCCTGGCCTTTTTTTCCCCCCGGGACCCCTCGCGATCCTGTCGCGGCACCGGCGAACGTTAACGAGCCGTGACACTCGCGCTCTTCCACTCCAGATTCGTTTCACCTTCGTTCTAACCGCCGCGCCGTCGCGGCGTTTACGATCGCTCGCGCCTCGCAACGATCGTTAACGATCTGCGGGAATTACAATCGAAGCCGTTCCGACGGACATTGTCAACTCTCGCGCGCAGAAAAAAAAGCTGACGGGACCGGCCCGGAAAGCAACGGCTCGGGGAAAGTAACGATCGCCACGTCGGAGCGCTTTTATGGCCGCGTGCGTTCTCGCTAATAATTAAAATCGCGAGAGGAGTACAGAGTTTCTAAACGCGTCTTGAAGGAACGAAAACAGCTGTGAACGACGGAACGACGCGAAAATGTTCGAGGATCATAGTACTTGCAGTCGTCTTGAGATTAGGGAAGAAGCGCGTACGGTTTCCGCTAGATACGAGAAGAACTGTCGTTGTGTTCGTTGTGTAAAAAGCCGCGGGTCTGCGTGCAGTTCCGCAGACTATTTGCATACGCGAATAATTACGTTACCGGGAGGAGAGTCAGTTGTATTCGTAGATAGCCGTGGAGTGTTAATTGGCTGGAGAAAATACTGTAAACGGCGCAAAGAGTTTTACTTGTGGCCCTGGCATCGTCGTCCGAGCGTTAAAATAAATACCGCAAGTGGTTCCGAAACTGTGACCCGTCGGTTATGAATAAATTTCCATCGAAATATTGAACACCATGCTTGCTGGCACTGAATTGTTTCGTGCAGCTTCTGATGCCGGCAGAACTTTGTCGTCCAATCTCTCGCCGAATCGTATTGCTTTTATTATCGATACTCGACCAATGAAAAATCGTCCTGTTATTCCGAGTTTATGCAGGCACTTGTAAATAATCGAATGCCGCGTTCGATTCGATCGAACACCGTGCTGCACACGGTATCGTTTCCACGAGCGTTCCACGTGCCGTTGATAAAACATCGCGGTATCGGCGTTGGTAGCATTCGAGGCAGCATTTTCGTCGGCGCGAAATCTATGAGAAATTTCCGGGCCAGCCTGATACAGCTGCCACGGCCTAACTGGGTTACGGTTTATCAACAACCCAATCGGCGTTAGGTCATTAATCGCCGCGGGGTGTCGGGGAATATAACAAACGCTCGTCGATTCATCGTCGATTCGTTCCTGTTTCGCTAATCATCGGCGGCCGCGCGGCCGCGCTGGCCCAGAAACGGCCGATGCAAAAATCATTTTTATTGGCGTCACCCGGCACCGCCGGACGAAAGAAACCGGCAATTTTGCGTCAACCTCCTTTCCAGCCGCTCGTTTTCCTTCTATCTGGGACTAAAGGACATCGCTTCGCGGAAGATTTAGTAGAATATCCGTCACCGCGACCCGATTCGGAGTGACGAACGCGAGCCTCGGCCTCTCGACCTTCGCAGCGAGGCACGCTGCATGCACGACCGATGCAGAAGCGCGGCGCGGGCCGGATGTGCACCTTGCCGGTGCACTTTCCCCTCGGCGGAGTGCAGTTCCCGTCCGACACGGTTCGTCCGGCCATTTTCCATCTCGCCGTCTCGGATACGACCCCGGCTAGGACGGTTTCGAGGCCGCGGCGGCGGCCACTTGAAATTTCGCCGGTGAAACAGCGAAAAAAGAAACCGTTTCGGAGGTTCCTGGAACGCTGGAAAGTCGCCGGCCGGGCGTGATTTCTCTTTTCGCCGTGGATCAGGATTTTCGGCCAAGCCTCTGATCCCGTGCTGCCCGATCCGTTTGCAAATTTCGCCGAAAGCCCGAGTAGCATGCTGTCGCTCGAACGAGACTGAAATTCGCTCGCGATAGATCTCTCTTTCTCCCGTTGCCCGCAGTTTCTCTAACATTACAGTATTCTGTCCCGGTTTTTTTGCCGCCGATTAATCGACTCGTCGATTAACCAGTTAGTTGCTGCAATCTCTTTGAAAAATTACTGTTATCCAGACTGTATATGCCAAGGTTATTACCAGGGTAATAACCAGACTGTACATGTCCCGAGTCTCTTTATAATTTGTTTAAACACAACACTTTCATAAAATATATGTGACTGAATAAAGAACGTAAAAGAGCGTATGTCACTCTTGACCAGTTAGACGAGCGTCAGAAACAACTAGCTGGTTAAGGATACCGTAAAATAAAGAATAACGATCCGTGTTACTGTATTATACGCATCGCTGATGTCAAAAATCCTGTTCAATTCTGTTCGGTCGAACGACGGTAAATACTCGATTCTATGGCGTACGATGAATCGTTTGCGGTAACAGAGATTTCATCGACGATTGAGCTTACCATAATTTTCGAGGTCCGAACGCGCGGTCAAGCGACCGCGACCGTGTAGACTTGAACGCGCAGTTAGGCGAGCGCGCCTCGGAGACTTCGACGCGCGGTCGGTCAGTCCGCCGCAACTCTCTCGAAACACGTTCGATAATAAACTCTATCGTTGGTCTTTTTTTTTTCTGGTACGCCGCCGCAGATCTCGAATGAATGAACACGTTTGGCTTATTCTTTTCGTTTTGTTTCTTTTCTTTTCTTTTCATATAAAAAAATGTATTTGACTGAAAATAATTATCAGCATTACAAAGTATTGAGTGAGTTTCAGAGGAGTTCGTTTAAACCGTACTGGACTAGATGGTGTTCAGCTGCGATGGGTGTTTTTGGGCGGGGTTTATGGTGGGGTGCGTGTTGTACCACGGTGCGCGCGTCCTTAGCCGCGACAACGATTCTTTCTCACACTCGCGAACGGAAGCGTTGCGACTAGCCTCTATGTTTTGATTGTGACTTCTTGCGTGTGTCCCTGTCGATTCTGTATGCTCGTCCACGCACACCTTGACGATTACGATACGTTATTATTTACATCGGGCCGCGGGCTGGCCCGCTTACTATTCAAACGTGATAAATAAACAATAAATATATCCTCCTTGGAGCGGGAAGCGGGACGTTGTCGGGATGATTCGTGCGGATCGGTTCGCTTCGTCGTCGACGTACCACGAGAGCTGGTTCCCTCGTCGAGTACCTTGACGCTCCGTGAACCGATCGAAGGGAAAGGAGAAAGGAGAGGCGGGGAACAATAGGGCGGAAAGAGGACGAAGGTGTATTGGGGAGTGGGGGGAGAAGACAGTTTACATTAATGGAACTCCGAAGAAATTAATGATGGTAGCCGGAGTAGGCTTGGCTCTGCGCGTATCCGTGACCGTCGTCCCAGGATCCGCCCGAGGACCATCCTCCGGAGGAGACAGGCGCTGACCATCCTGCTGAGGCAGCCGGGCCGCTGCTCCATCCGTGGTATGCTGTGATATCATGGGAGCCCTTGGACCAAAGCGATTTCAGGCCGACGAACGCCGAGATCGCGAGCGAAACCAGCGAGACGAAGATGGCCTTCTTCGCGATGAAACCAGTTACGAAGTAAGCCAGGGTGGCCAGAGCGCCGATTTTCGCTTTCGCCGCGAGCAACAGGGGCAGCAGCTGTCTCAGCTGCTTCTTCTTGCCTCGGCCTGGAACCGTTCAGCGATTAGCACCTTCCGAAAATTACTCGAGAGCTACGCGCCACCCGTGATTCAATTTGCAATGTTCTCCAAACGATCTAGATCCGATCGGCATACGTTAACCGGGCAGCTGTTTTCTTTTTTTTTTCGACGAGTATGCTCGTCGTGATTGAAAATGTTGCCATTTCCTCGTGACGAGTATATTCGTCGTGATTGAAAATGTTGCCATTTCCTCGCGACGAGTATGCTCGTCGTGATTGAAAATGTTGCCATTTCCTCGCGACGAGTATGCTCGTCGTGATTGAAAATGTTGCCATTTCCTCGCGACGAGTATGCTCGTCGTGATTGAAAATGTTGCCATTTCCTCGCGACGAGTATGCTCGTCGTGATTGAAAATGTTGCCATTTCCTCGCGACGAGTATGCTCGTCGTGATTGAAAATGTTGCCATTTCCTCGCGACGAGTATGCTCGTCGTGATTGAAAATGTTGCCATTTCCTCGCGACGAGTATGCTCGTCGTGATTGAAAATGTTGCCATTTCCTCGCGACGAGTATGCTCGTCGTGATTGAAAATGTTGCCATTTCCTCGCGACGAGTATGCTCGTCGTGATTGAAAATGTTGCCATTTCCTCGCGACGAGTATGCTCGTCGTGATTGAAAATGTTGCCATTTCCTCGCGACGAGTATGCTCGTCGTGATTGAAAATGTTGCCATTTCCTCGCGACGAGTATGCTCGTCGTGATTGAAAATGTTGCCATTTCCTCGCGACGAGTATGCTCGTCGTGATTGAAAATGTTGCCATTTCCTCGCGACGAGTATACTCGTCGAAAACAGCTATACAGATATATTGCTATATCGATATTCTTTCTTAAATTATAGATTTTATGAAAGTGTTTAAAGCAAAAAATATACAGTATAATTACTGAACTGAGGATTTCTACACAAAATAAAAATTGTCTACATCAGTTGCAACAGACAGAGACTAAACAGCAAGTTCATTCTTTTTTTTCAATCATTTTAATAGATTAAAAATAATAGATTGACATTTTCATTCCTTGCTCAATTCCTTTAATCTTTATACCATTTTAATTTATAGCTGCCCATCTTTTCTATAAATGCATAAAATCTGCGGTCTAATAATTACAATATCTTGCACACTTTTCAAAGAGATTGCAACAGCTGACTGATTAATTTAAGCAATTCTTCAAATTTTCTAAGTAAGGTCTGGTATTTCCACTAATATAGTCTGGGCTAGCGGAGCCGGTTACTGTGGGGTGACCAATTGCCGTGGTTTATTCTTTTATATCATTTGTTCTTTAATAAAAAGAAATATGTCTTATTCGATAAGTGTAATGTTAATTATGCCCAGAGGCACGCTATCAAAGGATAGTAATCTACATCTTGTAACATTCTCAAAGCTACCTAAATTTGATTAGATTTCAACAGGCCCTTCCACGAACATCTGCGACAGTCTCTATAAATCTTCCACCGATCTCTATAATCTGACAGTTTCTCGAAACTAGAGAAATTCATCTGGATCCACTCACCTTCGACAACCAAGTCAACAGCCTCGCGGACTTCTTCGGGTGCAGACTCGCTGATGGCACGAGCGGACGTGCCGATCTTCTCGATGATGGGGCTGAAGTTGATCTACCGAGAACAGTACTTATGAAGCAACGGGAATCTTCCTGGTTTCTACGATTCTACGAGAGTTTTTCACTTACCCTGAGACTGCGTCCAGTGAGAAACTCGGTTGCCTCTTCGCTGACGTAATTCACAAGGGCATCCTGCCTCTCGGAGACACTGTTGGCGGTGTCGATCTCCTGCTCGTAGACGAGGTCTTTGCCGGTCCTTGAGCTCCTGGTCTGGCTGTCGGCGCTCTTCACCAAGGTAACACCACTGAAGATCTCCATGCTATCGGTGTCGAAGAACTCCTTCGCCTTTCTGTAGAGGCTCTTCTGCACGCAGGAGATGCTGTCCTTCTCGAGACAGTTCTCGATGGTCTGTCCCTGGGCCGCGAGGACCACGGACAGGAGCACAAACGCGAAGAGTTTCATGACGACTGCGCGATCAGCACCGAACGAAGGAACGAACGAACGAACGAAAGAGATTGAAGAGTTGTCGGTGGAACGAGCGTACGTGAACTGCGTGCACGCGATGGAGCGAAACGTCTGTGGGATGAGGAAGCCTGCCCTTTTCCGAAACCCGTCCCGTCGGTAGTGAAATTTCGTGTGGTCCATCGTACAATCTCTTTAGCTTATATTTGGCGGGCCCCTCCTCGACCGTCGCCTGCCTCGCCGCCCCACCTCGCCTCTTTTTTCTTCCTATTTGCCTTGCATGAGTGTCGTCACCGATGTTCGTCGCCGGCGTCCCCTTGGGCCCGGCTAAACGGCCTAACCGACGAAAGTATTCGCCCAATGGACTGGCGGATAGGTGTTTCTCCGTGTTCGGCCGCTGGCACGCCGCCCATCGGGCCCCCGCGACCTGCGACCTGCCCACCACACGTAAATACGGGTCCGGGGGACCGGCTCCGGCCACGAGAAATCTCTTCCGTTGTTCCCTTTTGTACGCGGCCTAGGAAGTTTCCACGACCCTGGCTTCTCGCATCCCTGGAAGGACCACGGACACTACGTCGCTTATCGGTTTACTGTTATTTCGCGAGATAACGCGGTTACGCCGAATTACGATTCGCTGACCTAGAAGATTGCCGAAGCTACTTGACCCCGGTACGGTTTCCCTCGTCATTTCTAAATTCTATTTTCGGTGTAACTATTTCTCGATCGGCATTTCACTTCGAACTGCAGGACATCTGTTATCTTTCTTGAATAAATAATAAGTTGGGACTTCAAGGTTATTTGAGATAAATAATAAGTTGCGACTTCAAGGTCTAAAGCGACCATCGCACGGAACTCTAAGCTGTCTCGTAGCACGTCTTCGTGCATACAGCGTAGACATAGTCGCTTAGAAGCCATGGCGGAGAATGGAAGTGCCGACGTTATAATTAAATCAATTAATAAATGCTAATGTCTAACCGCGCGCGTTTCGCGAGCGATGTCTTTTGTTTAATGCGAACGGTTCCGATGTTAATTCGCTTCTGACGAACACCGATGACCCCGGGCGTCCTACTAGGCTGTCTCCTAGGCGTGACCTTCGGATCATGAGAAAGAGGTGATCTAAAAGCGATCGAGCGACCTACAAGTAACCTAGAAGCCAAGAAGTCCTGCAGCTGGTCTAGAAACGAAGGTGGATCTGGCTGCGTGCAATTCGATAAAAATCAACGAGCCGAGCGTCTATGAATGTACCGCGAAATTGTACGTACATGGAATTTGCTGCATTAAAAATAAAAGTGGGTAGCTATTTCATCGGCGACATCTTAATAACACCGGAGGCCGAACATCTGATTCATGCTCCGCGCGTTTTCTCTCCTCCGACCGGACAATTATCGACGGGCCATCAATTAACGACGCCACGGGGAGAGTCGTGTACGAGTTAGCAGCACTAAACGCCGCAGATAAGAGCGACGCGGTGAAAAGCAGGGTCACGGCCGGTGGGAGAGGAGAGGAGAGAGGACGCGGTTGCGTTCCGGACCTGTCCGGGACTTCGGGATCCTTGTTACGGTCGCGATTTCCACAGGAAGCGCGACAGAAATCGGCGGTTCTCTCTCTCTTTTTCTCTTTCTCGCTCGCTCCCTCTCTCTCTCTCTCTCTCTCTTTCTTTCTCCCCAGGAGGACCGTTCCTCGGACACGCGGAACACGATCGTCATGAATGAAAGAAAACTGGTATAGATCAGGTTCAAACATCCCGGATCCGACCTTCATCGAGCGGACACCACTTTCTACTCTGACCCCGGCTCTGACGCGGCTCTCACACGGGCGCAAGCCTCGCCGATAACGCCTCTTGTCGTTTTCGTTTCGCTCGTTACAAAGCCGTCGTGGAATTTCGGTTGCGAAACAGAGGAGACCGCGCGTAGGTGACATCCGTACGGAATTTCGTCGACGATCGAAATTCTGGACGGGCGCGCGCCGTTGCTACCGATCGTTGCGCTCGTCGATAATCAGGAAACGTACCGCCCGATTTATCGTGCGAACGGCCAGATTTTACGATCCGCAGGAGCCTATAGAATCCACAAGCGACGTTTGTTTTCCATTTTAGCGGCCGAGGAATCTAGAGCTCGGAGAAACTTCTGGCGTTTTAGGCACTCCTGGCGGTGCTCGTCCTGTCTGCCGACGATTTGGATTCGACGATTTCGATTCTTGCTCCTTTATTCTTGGCAAGTTAGCGGATTTTATGGTTCATGTGATTTGAATAAGACGCAGATACTACGACTTTGCTGACGTACTTCTGAAACGTTCTTCCGTGAACCAACATGGCGGTGCTTTCTTTCGTTATTAACGGATGGGTTAAGTGGTTTTCATCATTCAGAGGATTGCGGAATTTTTAAACATTGTTCGCTAAGTGTATCTCTTTTACAGCTGTGTATGCCCGTAAGGGCGAGGTAACATATCCGCGTCACCCTCGCGGTGACCGAATTCACACTAGATGTATCTCTTTTACAAAGCAATGTAAAATTTCAATTCTTGTTTAGACAAGAAACTTGTTAGAAACTTGCTATTTTGTACTTTTAAGATGTATTGCGAGGAAATATGGTTGACTACTATTTTTTTAGAAATGCAGATGAACTGATAGATACTTATGATTAGACAGCGGATCTTTGTGTAAGATTAATGTACAATATATATACGAAATTCTGCATATTTTGCACACCTGCGAAAATATACGCAATGGGCAATATATGCAAAATTTGCGAAATAAATATATCAGTCCGAATCTTATCAATTTACCTATATTCTAAAAAGATATGTATCTTTTTATAAAGATCCGCTGTCTACTTATGATATTCTAAGTTTATCCGTGGCTGCATTCTGATTTTGAATTCAGGAACCGTTTCAGATGCTTCTATAGTTTACTCGGTCCAATCGGGCGTCTCGAATTGCGTGGACAGGAAGTGGTCACTGCACATCCTCTTCATTCAGCTTCGTAATCCACCTTGCTCGCATCTCGAATAAATTTGCAGCCGGATGCGCATACAAATTCGTTGATTTCCCGGTGTACGGCGTGCAGTGTCGAATAACCCTGGATCGTTTCACACTTTCGTGGCCACGACAATGGCGAAGAAAACGACCTCGATTCACCCCGGGCGGGAGACAAAGGATCGACGTAACACGGCTCGGTTAACCGAGTTGACATAACCGCGGCGCCGTGGAAAAGTCTGCGGCGTCGGCGTCGGCGTCGACGTCGTCGGACAATAAAAACCGCGCAATCACGCTAATAAGCCGGATATAGATACTCTCTCCATCTCTCTCTCTCTCTCTCTCTCTCTCTCTCTCTCTCTCTCTCGTCGCGATTAATGCGCCCGGAGAGGGGCGCGGAGGGAACGGGGCGTGAAGGGACTCCGATGAAAAGGAAATTCGCGTGATCTTACGTCAGTACTCATTCATCCTTTCTCGGCGATCTCGGCCGGCGAGTTCGGTATCCTTTCGTCGATCCTTCACTCCCGGCTGTTAAAAAGTAAAACCAAAGTTTCTCCTTTGCGCCGTGAACGACACAACGGGGAACGCAGGGAACGCCCAGGCCACGGCGAAAAGGTAAAGTCGCTTAGATCACGGGGAAACAAGACGAGCGGGAACGCCATGATCGCCGCGAGCCCGCGAGCCGATACCGCGCGAAATTAGGTGCGCGCCGAGATACTCATCGCTGAACGGATTATGTAAACTTTCACCGGGAGGAACTCTCTTATCTAGATCGCGTTTTTGCTGTTCGGATTCTCGCGAGCCTCCGTCCGCTGGATCGCGACGAAAAACTCTGATTGCAGGATCGCGTATCAAATTGGCAACACTTGCTTTCTTCGATGTTAATCAGCTCACGCCTACCAGTCGCTGAAAATAGAGACGCCAGAATTATTTCTAGCTTGTGACAATTTATATTGAATCGATAAAAGATTCTACTTTACAGAATTATCACTGTGTTCCTCGTTTGCTTTATACTGATCGTTAGAACAGAAAATTATTTGACACTTTATTATTAGAATTATTTAACACTTGTACCGACCACATTGACTTCTTTATCGAGGATTTTAATAAATTTATAAATCAAGTGTATATATATATATATATATATATATATATATATATATATATATACAAATGATTTATAATCTTTACTTTATTATATATATATATACAATGTAATCAGAAGCAGGGACGTTTAGTTCGTGTTTACTTTGTATATTACGATCGTATTGTTTTCGTTGGCATTTATATTATTATTTTATTATTAGTGCCATTATGTTGAATTTTCGTAGAAAAATTCAAAGTGCGCCTAGCCTTTTTACGGTAAATACATAAATAAATCAAGCGAAATTAAAATAGCGCCGAGTACAAGAGAAATATCGTTTTTAGATTGACACAGGGATTAGTATCAAAATATGGCTACCGATTTCGAGTATTCGAACCAATTTACTATTACATATTGTTACAAGCGCATGCTCCGCGATTTTGTCCAATAAAAATCGCAAGGATAATCGGCGAATTAATGGGGTTAATAAAACGATTCGTCTGGAAGCATCAAAACGGCGAACAGGTTCAACACGAATTTTGCGAAACGCTCGAAGCATTTTCGAATTTGGCCGGGAACTGTGTCAGTAGATCGCGCAAGTCCCGCCGCCTTTCAAGGCAGGCACGTCCACTTTCAGTTTTAGCGCTAATTCCCAGGTGTCTCGCGACCGTCACGCGATAGAAAATATTAGTGTCGTCTTGAAGCGACCTGTATCCTTCGTACGCGGACGCGCCGCGCCGAGTTAGAGAACGCGAATAATCAGGAAAATGTGGTGTCGCGGGGGATCATGAATGACTGGCGTGGCCTAGAAACTTTTACCTTTTATTCAGAAATCGGCTGGCAGCGTCTGGCGACGCTTAGCCTTCATTGCCATTCATAATGCCCGCAAATTGCTCGCCGAAGACGGCCTCCGGAACGCTAGCAATTACCTTGCAAATGAAATCGTGTATCCCGGGGAAGGGACCCTTATTAAACGAGCGTTGATCTGTGTCAAGGACACTTCAAAGTCACCTGGATCCACGGGAAGAAAGTCTAACGCAGTGTCCTAGGCAGATGTCGCGCGACGACGAAATCGTTGCCGTTCGATCGACCTAGCAACGCGACGAGCAAAACGCCTTTGCCGTATTTGTCCTTAGCATTGTTCGAATTTGAAACTAGTTTGTTTCCTGCAGCGTCTCGTCGCACGCACGACATCCAATTAGGGCATAGCGCAACAGAGCCGGGAACGGGCAGAGAGAAACGCGGGAAAAAATATGACAATCGTAAATTCGAGATTTAGCCCGATCGTAGACATCGTTTGATATTTATTGATCCAAGTGGAAACGGCTCGAAGTCCTTAACGGTGCCGTCGAGAATAAACGGTCCAAGAATTTTTGAAACGAGGGGAGGGAACGCGGCCGATTATAGACGACATTAACATTTCTTCTTTCGACGCCGCTTAGCATAGCGTTTCACTCGGGGACCGTGGAAACGACGACGCTCGTTCGTTAACGGACAGAGCCGTTTTTAAGCGAAAACGGTCTCGCAGGAGATCAGGCTCGCGAACATATTCGCGGCGACCTCTAACAATCGTTTGCCGGCCAAAAATGTCCGCCGTGAAATCACGAGCTGCGACGTGAAAGTACGAGCGCGAAGTCGGTCAATAATGTGTAGCGCGATCGTACCGCGCGCGCGCACGCGCGCGACACGCAGAATTTTCCGCCTACCCGCGGTGAAAATCCCTCGGATCGTTATCGACGGAGAAAATCGTGTCCGCGTGTGGCGTCGCGATCGCGTTCGGCTCGAGCGACCAGGCGTGGGTGGGATTTCGAATGAGTCAGCTACGACCGGTGGGCGATTTGTGACACTTTTTTACGTTTTCTTCAACGTGCTGCGCGTCTTGTAGAATCGCCTGTGCCTTTTTGACACACTAGATTTATGGAGCACAAAAATCAGCTGGTTTATATTAGTTTATAAAAGTAATAATAAGGCATTATTTATTCTGTTTTTTAACAAGCGTTATTGTAACGTTCGCCGTGAGGAACATATAAATTGAATAAATAACTCGTATAAATGTATCTTTATAATATAATTATAAATATATATAATAATAATATATTATATAAATATATAATTACAATTGTAATATAATTATAATCGTAAATGAAAAAATTAGTGACCCGCCATTTTGACGGATTCCGTAAATCCAGCGTTGATCGTCGTATTGTCGCAGAGTCACAGTTTAAACAAATGCCATGATATTCTCAATGTTACATTGCAATGCAAGTTCAGATAATTCTTAATGCAAGTTCAGAAATATTTTCTATACGTCGCTCTGTTCTTATCTGCTTTGTCATCTTTTTGTATTACCTCGTTTCCGTCACTGTAAGGATCTGATCGTATATAATATTAATAATTGTACTTGCAATGGAAAATTTGTTCTCGTCGATTAAACAACGAAATCAATTAAAATATTAGATCTGGAAACGATCACTTGATAATCTGCTATTTCTAATGAAATTTCACTGACTTTCATTTCCTTAAATACTTTCACAAAAATGTAACTTTTATAAAAAGAAAGAAATATGAAGCACACACAAATTCTTTCGATAAAACAATAAAATTAATTGTCGCGGCTTACAGAGAGTTGTCACTCCATTATCATCGAGCAAAGAGAAGATGCAGCGAACACGACGTACAGCAGATAAGCTCGGCCATACACAGCCGCTAATCAGCACGCAACAGGTTAGCCGATCTGCCGATCAGGTTGTAAACAAATTGCCACGATCGAAATCACCATTCCAAAGTATGGAGGTTCGATCTGGGTCACGGAGGATCGAACCGGTCCCAAGGTTGCGTCAGTGAGCCTCCACCCCATTCTTTCCTCCAAATCTCTCTCGATCCACCTGTAGATCGAACATCGAACAGAATCGATTTTCCAGCCGGGTTCCACCGGCAAAATCCCGAAGATTCCGAAGAAAACGGGCGCACCGTCGAAGCGATCGCCGGTACCCGGAATTAGAGAGCTGGTCTCTTCTAACGCCCGCGAAGCCAGCTGCGACAGGAATTCATCGCGGAGCAGAGCGGAGAAGTCGGCGCGGAGCGATGGCGCGCACGCAGCTCGAAAAATCGGCCAGGCGATTTGAATTTTAAATTTTCACCCGTCGATCGGTAATGAGCGCGGAATGTAACGGGCTCTCGTCGAGATGGGATCGTCTCTGGGCTGCTGTGCCAGAAAACGCGATATTAATAGACGAGAATGCTGCGATCTCGTGGAAAAACGCTGGAGCGCGTGAAACGCGAAAAGTTCGTGCGTGCCGTTCGATCGTGTGCGGTTCGAGCACGGCGTCGGCTCGCGTTCGGATACGCTCTCGCATGGGTGTCGCAAACGCAACCTGGGTGGCGCGGGCTTGTCGCGCGGAATTTCAAAAAGTAGAAATCTTCGCCGGCTTCCGGAAAGCGGCCGGGATGAAGAGGAGCCGGGGCTCGCTGGCTCGCTCGCACGCGCGCACGCGGCCCGGTTCTTTTGCCCGCCCGTTTCGGGCCCATTCACGAAAATGTTCTAACTTTCGTTTTCTCTTGGCGATGCAGGTGACGTCAGACAACCGCGCTCGAGTTTACGGCGCTATAAAAATTTAATCGTCCTGTCGCCCGTTGTTCTGTCGCGGGGACGAAAACGAAAGCAGAGCGGCCGACCAGCGAATTTTTTCCGCCACGCAATTCGATCCGGCGGCCCGCGAGCCGAGGGTGCGCGATTAATCGCGAGAAATCAACGATCGGGAACTATTTTAGGACGGTTGTGAACTTGCTCTCGACGGTGGACGTTTACTTTACGCAAAATTGCAGCAGGTGATAGTCTGGAGCAACTTGCATCGAGGCGCTTTGAAATAGCGCGGAGAATGTAGCAAATGGCTGCGACTAGACTGTGTTTCATCTTTTAATAATTTTAATGCGTCAGAAGCAATGCGATAGTAATCGTGGATTCGTGTAAAAAGTGCCCAATTTAGCTGCGACCACTGAAACCACTTGAATCCTCAGTTTTACGACTGCTTTCATGACTATGTTAATTAGAACGTTTTCATCGTTAATAACTTCCAGCAAGAATCAAGATATTTATATTTATTATACATTTACGTTCACAGAATTTTATTCTGACTGAGAAAAAGCAATTACTTAATAACTATATTTATTGCACACCGCTTATGATATACTTAAAGATCCAGCATAGCGGTGCAATATATGATAAACTTAATTTTACTATTTAATCTGAGCATTTCTTAATAAAATCCCGATAATGACGGTTTAAAATCTATAAATAGTAATTTACTGTCTCTTCAAAGTGTAAACGATGGAAAGAAACGAATCAAAGTGACAGAAACAGCGACGCCATCTTGGAGAGCCTGAATAAACCCTCGACAACTCAGAAGTAGCTGAAAATTACCTAAAAAATAATCGCGGCTAATTAAAAAGCTACAAAATATTCTCTGACAATTTTTATAACCTTAATAAACGATCACTTAAATGTACCACCAGAGGATCACATAGAATAACCCCTTGAATCGTCCTCTATTGTCAGCCTAATCGAACTAGTGATCAATTTACCAATAAATCGAAGGATCGAGGATGAAAGACGAAGCCAATTGGCGGATGAAAATGGGGAAATATCGAGGAAAATCGATGCATCCGCGGAACGTGTTTCTCCGTCCGAAGCTTGTGCGCAGAGTCCGCGCAGCGATCTGAGCCGATTTCGAGCAGGACCTTCCCGTTTTATGATATTCCAAAGGTAAAAAAGGCAGCGTTTGGAATGTGTGCCAGTGGGTCTTGGGCCCCCGTCGACGTTTTTCCTCCTCCTTCTCCTCCTCCTCCTCCTCCGGGCCCGCTCGGACGAGAGGATCCCGGTGAACGGGCCTAGTTCAAGGCGGCTAGTGGGGGCGGGCGAGAAGAGCGCGGCGGAGGAGGTGCATAGAAAGAGGGATCCCTCCGAAAGCGCCGCTCACGGCGTCGCACGGTTCGTTCCGTCGCTTTCTTCCTCGAGGAGGATCCTCGTCGCGGCGTTTTCCAGCCGGTCGAACCGATTTCCGTTGGCCGAGAAGTTTTCCAGGACGTTCCGTGCACGGAAAACCGACCCGATCGGCGTCCGGCGCGATCTTCACGCGTCCAGCAATTGAATTACGGGTAATTGCCTGCCCGGCTGCAATTAGCCGGCCGCCTCGCTCGCCGAGGAATATGGCACGCGAGCGTAAATTGGGCGGGTGGCACTTTTCGCGCACTGCTTCCACCGGGAGCGTCGTTTCACTTTGCACGATTTGTTGCACAACCCGTGCTACTTGCCCGCCCGCGGACATCCGGAATTTCTTGTTTCCCGATCGATTAAAACCGATAAGAATCCGATTGATCGCGGATGTAATAACATACCACCGTCCCGCCGGCACACTTTCCTCCGATTTTTCGTCTACCTTTCACCCGGCTGATCGCGGCCAACGAACGAAACCCCGTTAAATAAAGACGGCCGATACGGTTTTGGTTGGATGATTACGTATAACTTTATTCGCTGCACGCAATAAATAAATAAGGTACAAAAATGGGGTGGAGGGTGAAGAGAGAGAGAGAGAAAGAGAGCATGAGCACGCGTGTGTGTAGTACTGATTCGTGGAATAAATAAAAGCCGTGTTATATGTACTTTGGTTTCGCCAGCGTACGTCCGTGTCCTTCGGGTCCAAGAGTCGTCGAACGTTTATCACATGTTTGTCCCTCCGTGTATGCGTATGTATGAATGATCGTTGTGCAGGCCTTGCGCGTGCATGTGTATGCTGTACGTATGTATGTATGTATGTGTTCACGTCACTTTCTACGAAACGTCCAGTCCGTCAGCACGTGTGTGTCTCAATGTCATTGTCACTGTCGGTACGCGCGTCTCGTCGCGATGTCGTGCCTCCGTCCGTAATGTTCTCTCGCCTGCTCGGCTACCCGTCGCGCGTACTTCCGACGTGGATTTATGACGGAGTCGCTGTCACAGGTACTCATTCAGGACACTCGGGAGTCGCCGAACAGGTGCGCGTATCCTCTGTAAGGCAGCTCGAGGTCCTCCAATCCCAGGGACCGCTTCTTGCGATAATGGTGGTGGCCGACGTCCTGCGCGTACACCACGTGGTGGCCGCCGCCTCCACTGTCATGGCCACTGAGCAGCTTCTTCGCAGCCACGATCAGAGACAGCGTCAGAGCCATCGCCGACACCATCAACGCCTTTATGGTTAGCAGGCCCAGAGCGCCCATTCCCATCGACGCCATAATCTTTCCTGTAATTTTTTAGATCCTTTGTTAGCATTCCTCAAGATGTCCTAGGTCCTGCAAGATGTCCTTCGGGACGTTTTATTTTTTGGAGGTAGATCCTAGAATCGATGCAATGAAATATTGCATCTAAGTCTAAATAAATGTTGTCCGAAGAATTTTGTTCCTAAGAATGCTGATAATTTCTAATCCTGTAAAACTTATTCTATGCCGACATTGCTAATTTTCATCATAAAGAGCATTTCTGAACTGTACAGAGTTTATACTAATACAGTGCTGCTGATTTCCATCATTCTACCTCTTGTCAAACTGATAATAGCTATACGAAAACAATGACCCTGACCCTTAAGACTTAATATTAATTTCTAGACAGCGGATTTTCATGCAACATCAAAATTGTCGACACTTTTAGCAAGCTCCGGAAGCTACATACGCGTTTATCTCTTTTCGTAATCACTTGAACGAGTTAAAGTTACTAGGACAGCATTTCTAAATTCTTTAAATCTATTTAATGATTTGCATTCGACCTACTCATTTTTCCTATAAGTGCATCAAATCCGCTGTCCACTAATTGACATAACCTATAGTCTGTCATTTGAATCGTAGAAATTGTTACGTGTCTTAACAATTAATTCAATATACTTGGAAGCAAGATATCAAGTTCTAATAAAAGAAACAACGTTCTAGAATGTCCAAATTGTATCCTTAAATTTTTGGGTCCCAATAGCACTGCTAGTTTTCGAGTGACAGTTGTTTAAAAATCGAACAGCACACGTGTTTCGCGATGGAACGAAACAAATTCTTTACTAAATGATCGTCAATTAAAATCAAAACGAATGGTCTCCGAATAACCAAACTTCTCAATATACCATCTAAATACAAGTACAAAGTCAACGTAATCGCAACATAATCCTCCCCTCGTCGAGATAAAGCCACTGACTAAACGATTAAACATTTTACGTAACCTTACCCATCATCAGCGCCAGGATCATGTATCCTCCACCGCCGCCCTTCTTGCCACCCCCGCCACCGCCTCCCCCAAGTCCATATCCTCCTCCTCTTCCCCTGCCTGTAACAAACCGCACCGATTACAACCCTGGACACAGTCCTAACGATCCCATAAAATCTCGCGGCAACCTTGCTCGGAAGGTAGGCTCTCCTGGATAGCGGTCTCGATGTTCTGCGGCAGGAAGCTCGGCAGCTTGATCCGTAGTTCTCTGCCTTCCAGGAACTGTATCAGGGAACCCATGCCACCGAATCCCTTCATCAGTCTCCCTTTCCTAGCTGGTCCAGCTCCAGGTACCTCGACGAGGCTGACACCGTCGAATATCTCGATGTTCGGCTCCGAGCTGGTCTTCTCCAGCAACTGCTGGACGATCTTCCTGACGATCCTGACCCCGTAACAAGACACAGACAGGTTCTTCGACTCGTTCGCCGAGCATCCCGTGGTAAATCCGTTCCAGGCGTCCTTGGTCTCGTTGGTATCCGCGGCCCGAGCCTGCGACGCGATCACGCAGACGACGAGGACGCACAGGGCTAGCCTGCGCTGATCCCCTAATCCCGGTATCCTCCCTAGCCAGTCCATGGTAGCCCCGACGGTTCTCGGACGGTCCCGTTTTGTCGTTGACTGACGATCTATCCCAAGCAAGCGAGTTCACGATGATCGCGATGCAACGCAGACGTAAGCCGTGTACTGATCCTGCGGAACCTACGGCGGAGGTCCGAGTGCTGCATCTACGCTCGCTCGAAATCTCATTTATATAGTTGTAGCTGCCGGCCGGTGATTGTACTACGAAAAAAGCAACGAGAGCATCGGGCTCGGGCTTTACATTCTCTGTTCTTACCGTGTGCATTAGCCTGCAATTTTTCGTTCGGTCGGGCGATCCTCTCGTGGATTCCTTTAATTCTTATTGCCGGGGCGTTTTAGAGCGTTACGCCGCGGTTGGCTGCGGGAGCAGCCTGGCTAGTCTCTCGGCCAGACGGATCGACGTTCTAAGGCCCCGAACCCGTTCCCGTCTCCCTTCATCTTTCGTCGGTTTTCCCGCCGTGGCCGATCCCGCGTCTCTCCCTCGCCTACGCTTATTCTAGATCACCGGGCATCTGCTCGGGAAAGAGCGAGCCGCAGTTCCGCCCGGACCCGCTCACACGTAAACCTCGTTCTTGGAAAAATGCGGATTCAATTGTTTTAGTGGATCAGTCGATTTCGAACGCAGTGGATGCGATTATCCTGGTCGAACGAAACGTAGCAGACGGATTTATGCGTCCGTTGATTGGATTGCTGTAGAATCGTAAAAGAACGCAAATTAGACAAAATCTTATGCTATGAAATTGGTAACCTTATACATATCAAATTACCGGATGCGATTGGAAGGAGTTCTGGAAAAATTAACACGAAGAAATTGGTAACGCCATACGTATGAAATTAGAAAATCATTGTTTTAGATATAGGATTGTATTAAATACGATTTTTCTGATTGAACAAGTCGTACCAAATGGTTTTATCTATCTATTGGTTTCGTTGCTATAATATCAGGAAAGGAAAAATTATTATAAAAAGATTGGTAACGTCATACGTATAAAATTAGAAGATGATGATACAGGATGATTCACAAGAAAAATATAGATGAAATAATATTGCGGCATCAGCTTATGCTGGAATAGGTCTATAAATCATTCGGTTAAACCGTAAATGTGTCCAAGAGAATAACTAATTTAATGCAACAACGTTAATGGAGAAATAATGACGAAGACGTTTTAATGGATCAGTTAGTGCTCGATGGTTCCATAAATCCGTTGGTAACACTGTGCTTAAGAGAATTCATTAAACGCAACACGTGCATTAAACACATCCGTACTAATTAGTTTTGCAGACGCGTTTAGAAGAAAGATGCGTCCCTCGGAAGTTCCGGAACGCTACGTATACACGAATTACCGGTAACATGAAACAGTGTTATCTTCGTCCGGACAGTTACTTTTGATTTCAACGGGTTCGGTTTCCGCTCAATGAACCCGGACCAACGATACGACTCGCGATCTCGCGTTCAAATTTCGAAAACCTCGCGACGGAGAAATCGAATTTGAAATGTAAATGCGCCGCGTTGCATTGAGCGGCTGCTCAAATTCTTTCGCAAAGAATTAATGTATCCGCGTTACGTCTGCGCGCGAGACAAATAAGAATCTCAAATCTTGCCTACATTCTCGGAGATGCTCCGGCGTGTGCTTCCTTTCCCTCTTTCCACGATTTAGTGGAGCGGAAGAGAGCGTGGCCGATTTCGAATCTCGCCTGCGCTTCCATCGGCGCGCAATTAGCAGGTTCAGGTGGACGGCAGCGAGAACGCTTCTGTTCCGTCTCGGAAATTAGCCGGCGAAGTTCGTACGACGGCGCGCGGTCTTAATTGTACCGATAGAAGAAAAAAAATATGAATGATCCCGCGAGCCTCATGGGACACACCACGAGTTCGTTGCAATTCCGGCCATCCGTCGGTTTCATCCTTTCTCTCGAAGGATCCCGAACGATCCACGGATCGGCGCGGGTGGGGCAGGAGAGGAACGATCGATTCGACTCGATCGACGCGCGTCGCGTCGCGTCGCGTCGCGACAAGATCGCCCCGCGGTCGAAAACTAGTTCATCTCGCCGCATACCTTTCTCTTCTGTTCCACTTCCCTTCGCGTACTCGCCGATACGATACAGTATACATATACGTAACACCGGCTGGTAGGTATAACTAGGCCCGGTTCGAAACCGTTCGCTCGTTCCTCGGGACGACGCCACGCCACACGGACGATCGTGTATCCTTGAAACCAGATCGAGAGTCGACGCCACCCTTCGAGCCTCCCTTTCTTTCCTCCCTCGCGAGCATGAGCCACCGGAAGTAGCGAGCCCGTCTACTCCTTAAGGATCCGCGAGATCGAAAGCGCTAATTAGAGCCGTTCTCCTAACCGCAGCCGCGGCTGCTCTCTTGCCTCCCCGAGAACTCTAACACTGAACTCGCGAAAACTGCCTCGGATCCGCTTACGGCTGCATCCTAATTAAACGTCGCATGACTACAGGGCTTGCCGATTTCGTCAAATTCCGACGAGACGTACGAATTCGTTTCTTCTTCCGTCGCGTTGTCGATCGTAGGGCGGTTGTTGCGCGATCGCACTTGTCGCAGGATTTTATGATCAACGCATCCATGTTCGCTCATTGCGCGTATTTAGGCTCCGATAGAAACATGTGTGGCAATCGGGAACAACCAGGATCTCGATCTGTACAAGATCCACAGTTTCTGTAACTCGAATTTTCCAGTCGACGAAACTGGCAGATCTCTCTCATTTAATCGTATTTAGCCGCATTAGACCTCTTTTCTTTGTGTTCGCGCATTGTTTCCGGATTCGTTGCAAGTCCAAAGCACGTTCGGCACGTGACGATGTGTAGTTGAGAATTTGATTGTTGCTACAAAAAGAAGCAAGGTGGAGATCGTTTCGTTTAGATGTTCTCCGAATCGGCAGAAGCGCGAAATGATTCTCCTGTATTCGATCGGTGAATCAGAGCCTCTAATTAGTCCACGGTTTTCTCTGCGCACTTCCGCGACCGCAAGGGAAACGTTAGAATCTATCTGGAAGGTGTTTTCTCCTTTCTCGATACGCAGAATGTGTGTCGGCCCGCTCCGAACGTTCTCGCGCACACTGGCACAAAGAAACGGAGAAAGAGAGAGAGAGAGAGAGAGAGAGAGAGAGAGAGAGAGAGAGAGACCGTTACCGGTCATCGAGCNTCGAAAACCTCGCGACGGAGAAATCGAATTTGAAATGTAAATGCGCCGCGTTGCATTGAGCGGCTGCTCAAATTCTTTCGCAAAGAATTAATGTATCCGCGTTACGTCTGCGCGCGAGACAAATAAGAATCTCAAATCTTGCCTACATTCTCGGAGATGCTCCGGCGTGTGCTTCCTTTCCCTCTTTCCACGATTTAGTGGAGCGGAAGAGAGCGTGGCCGATTTCGAATCTCGCCTGCGCTTCCATCGGCGCGCAATTAGCAGGTTCAGGTGGACGGCAGCGAGAACGCTTCTGTTCCGTCTCGGAAATTAGCCGGCGAAGTTCGTACGACGGCGCGCGGTCTTAATTGTACCGATAGAAGAAAAAAAATATGAATGATCCCGCGAGCCTCATGGGACACACCACGAGTTCGTTGCAATTCCGGCCATCCGTCGGTTTCATCCTTTCTCTCGAAGGATCCCGAACGATCCACGGATCGGCGCGGGTGGGGCAGGAGAGGAACGATCGATTCGACTCGATCGACGCGCGTCGCGTCGCGTCGCGTCGCGACAAGATCGCCCCGCGGTCGAAAACTAGTTCATCTCGCCGCATACCTTTCTCTTCTGTTCCACTTCCCTTCGCGTACTCGCCGATACGATACAGTATACATATACGTAACACCGGCTGGTAGGTATAACTAGGCCCGGTTCGAAACCGTTCGCTCGTTCCTCGGGACGACGCCACGCCACACGGACGATCGTGTATCCTTGAAACCAGATCGAGAGTCGACGCCACCCTTCGAGCCTCCCTTTCTTTCCTCCCTCGCGAGCATGAGCCACCGGAAGTAGCGAGCCCGTCTACTCCTTAAGGATCCGCGAGATCGAAAGCGCTAATTAGAGCCGTTCTCCTAACCGCAGCCGCGGCTGCTCTCTTGCCTCCCCGAGAACTCTAACACTGAACTCGCGAAAACTGCCTCGGATCCGCTTACGGCTGCATCCTAATTAAACGTCGCATGACTACAGGGCTTGCCGATTTCGTCAAATTCCGACGAGACGTACGAATTCGTTTCTTCTTCCGTCGCGTTGTCGATCGTAGGGCGGTTGTTGCGCGATCGCACTTGTCGCAGGATTTTATGATCAACGCATCCATGTTCGCTCATTGCGCGTATTTAGGCTCCGATAGAAACATGTGTGGCAATCGGGAACAACCAGGATCTCGATCTGTACAAGATCCACAGTTTCTGTAACTCGAATTTTCCAGTCGACGAAACTGGCAGATCTCTCTCATTTAATCGTATTTAGCCGCATTAGACCTCTTTTCTTTGTGTTCGCGCATTGTTTCCGGATTCGTTGCAAGTCCAAAGCACGTTCGGCACGTGACGATGTGTAGTTGAGAATTTGATTGTTGCTACAAAAAGAAGCAAGGTGGAGATCGTTTCGTTTAGATGTTCTCCGAATCGGCAGAAGCGCGAAATGATTCTCCTGTATTCGATCGGTGAATCAGAGCCTCTAATTAGTCCACGGTTTTCTCTGCGCACTTCCGCGACCGCAAGGGAAACGTTAGAATCTATCTGGAAGGTGTTTTCTCCTTTCTCGATACGCAGAATGTGTGTCGGCCCGCTCCGAACGTTCTCGCGCACACTGGCACAAAGAAACGGAGAAAGAGAGAGAGAGAGAGAGAGAGAGAGAGAGAGAGAGAGAGAGAGACCGTTACCGGTCATCGAGCATCCTCGTGTCAATAACAAGACGATCCGATCAATATCCGATACTTTCTCCTCTCGCGACGAATTTCTCCGAATCCGGCGAAACCGTGGCCGTGAAAAGAAATCGGGTCAACGGCGTGATCGCTCTATCATGCCGGTATTCCGTCTCTTTATCACTCGATCGAGCACTCGAATCGATAACCGGGACTCCTTTCGAGGCTGTTCCTCCGCTAGAAAGACGGATTCGAGAGAACGATCAGCTAAATGCCGGACAGTTCGCGCGGTAATTGTTGTAATAAGCAGTTCCTTTGACGATCGTCGCGAAGAGGCGTAACACACGTGTCGATTTTTACCGATTTACGAGGATCGCGGGGCCCGGGAACGGGGTCAACGGTGACGGCGGGGCCCCTCTTCTCACCCGAAACCGAAAGTTGATCTCCCGGAGGGACACCTTTCTTTCTCCCGGCGGTCCCTTATCGCCCCGTCATCTCCTTTCTGATTCCTCCCAATCGAGCAGGAGAAAGCTGCCGGCCAGAAACGAGGCCGACTTATTTGAATGAAAGATGCCTCGTGCATCCTGCGGTCCCCGGTAGTTTTCCCTTCGTTCCGATCATCTTTGACGCCTCCGAAAGTTGCCCCGGACACTGTTCCCTCCGCCGCGATATCCAGGTCAACGAAATAAAATTTTTCGGCCGGTGCGGCGCATTCCTCGCCGAGGACAATTCTAAAATCGGCTTCGTAGCTGCTCTAGCAAAAATCGCACGAAATTCGAGCCACTCGTTCGGTGAAGTTACTGGGACTGGACTGCGGAGCCGATTACTGTGAGTGACCGATTGCTGTGCCTTTGGTTTGTTCTCGGGCATAGTTAACTTTATATTTATCTAATAAGACATTAAATTTGTTTATTCTTTTATTTTCTTGATTTCTGAGTAAATTCTTTTATTTTCTTGATTTCTGAGTAAATTCTTTTATTTTCTTTATTTCTGAATAAATTCTTCTATTGTATGCATTTCTGAATAAATTCCTTCATTTTCTTCTTTTTTTGAATACATTCTTTTATTTTTATTACTTTTTAATAAATTTTTCTATTTTTTTTATTTCTGAATAAATTCTTTTATTTTCTTTATTTCTGAATGAATTCTTTTGTTTTTCTTATTTATGAGTAAAGCAATTATAATGTGTCTTATTCGATAAATATAAGGTCAATTATACCAGAAATCAAAGCAAAGGCACAGTAATTGGTCGCAAAGTGACGAATAAAGTGTAAAATGGTACAACGTCGTAAATAATTAACGTGTTCCAACAGGATTTCGCATAAAATTGTCGCATCAGCGATCTTCTCGTGTCTCCCTAAATGGAGCATTCGCAAACGATTAAATCGTATTAATTACCTCTGCAATTTGCTTCGGTTAGACTCTAACCACTGTTCGATGAAAACCGATTCGTCAGAGCGGAGATTCGTTTTTCAAGATGCACGAGGAATTGTGTCACTGACATACACGACACGGCAGCGAACGTGTTAACAGTTAGAATCTAATCGTCGAAACGCACCTTTTCGACACAGTTTCATTCGTGATCCTGCGTGCCGTCGATATTTTTAGATCGCCCGCTAGATCATAGGCATATCCCATTCGTTTACAAGTTCCGCGAATTGCTCGAGAGAAACCGATTTCCTTCGATATCCGGCGTCGCCGACATATTTACATTCTTGAAAGATGTTTTGCTCGTTTGCAAGTTACTTATGCAAATTCTCGGCGGAGAAATTAAATTGTCCTCTTCGGTATTCACCGTCTCCGATATTTCTCCGTCTACGATCTATGAGTAAACGTTGTATATTTCCATTTCATATCCATTTTATCTCGTACTATGGGTAATTTCGTATTTTCATTACATTTCGTTTCTTTTCCTGTTAAAACTTTGTTCTGTATCGCAACTGAACAGATAGCTTTCTATATCGCGTACTGATATGCTTTTTCCCAGAATAATTAATAAATAATAAAAAAAAGTTAAATATTTCCAAATTCTTGAAAGATGCGTCGTTCGTTCGCGACGAAGTTGGGCGAATTATCTGATGGAAAACACAGAAATCATTTTGTCCCTAACGCGTTCGGATCTCTGAAAGACAATTCGCCGCGTGCAAGGGAGTGTTGCAAATTGTCGAAGGGGACTGTTCCGATGCTCGCGAATCGCATTCCTAGAGTAACTCGACGCTATCGTCACGCCAAGTCCCGCTAAGTTCCGCAAATCGGGGCAGGCGCGATGAATACGAGACGTTCGACATATTTTCAGCGTCGCGCGAATCGATCGATGGAATTTATCGCGCGAAAATACGGCGGTGCCGTTGATAAAACCGCCTTCGATTCCCTAGAATTCTTAGATAAAACGTCGCCTTCGAGTCCATCGAATTCTTCATTCTTTTTTCCAATTCCTTCGGCTAATCGGACTTCATTAAACGCGTTCGAACAGAGAGCTTGTCGGGCAATTAACTGTGCTCCGCCGGTAAATTGGTCGTAATGAAAAGCTCACGGATCCGTTTCACTGGCTTCCGGCTGGCAAACAGACCAAATCGGAAGATGCCGGGCTACATACCTCGTGTAATTAATCGGACTGTGTTACATGCTCGTCGGGGATTACTTCTCGATCGCCGATAACGCGCGCTTATGACGCGTGTCCAGTCGCCGGGACCAGTTCCGCGGACATTTGTCCAATCTGTCCCGCGGCTTGCGATTCCATTTTCCGAATCATTTCGATCGTGGCTCCCGGCGGAGAAACGGCTGTCGGTTGATCGATAAAATCGTCGCGCGGACGAGTTCCGCCGACCGGCCTTCGCTTTTCCGTTCCGCTCGTAATTACGCTCGGCGACAACCGTAATTAACCGGCGGAAGAAGTTGCCGTGCGCGTGGCATCGCGAGTCCGCGCCGTAATCGCGGTATCGCGACATTGTGGAAATTATGGTTGCGTGTTCGATTACGGCCGGGATTATCTAAACGAGATGGCGGCCTCTCGCGGTGAACGACTGCTTCTCTTTGCTTTCTCCGGTTCTTCCTGGTGGTAACACGACTAACTCGGTCCCAACTTTTTGCTCGGTAAGTCGAGCGATTAGCAGCTACTGCTATTGAGAAAAAAGAAGAAAGAACGCCTCGTTTATCGTTTACGAACGAAATCTATGAATAGGTTCGTTTTATGGTTACGACCCATATTCTCTGCTTTCTTTGGATGACGATGTGCGCTGTTCGAGCGTTCGCGTCTGGAGAACGAAGGCGCGGGAATAGGCGCGTTACAAAAAACAATAAATATTTATTTATACAAGAGAAAACAACGTGAGTACATTATGGTACAGTCCGCGCCTCGCGGCGATCGGAATAAATTAAGTATAAATAATATCGATCGTGTATAGATACAAGGTTCGCGCGCGTTCGTACAAATAGTTCTTTCGTGTTAATGGGAGCGGTGCGTTCGTCTGTCGGTCGTCGATTCGATTCGTCGATTAGTCGTGACAACGAAGAAGAACATTGTTTTGTTTTTTTCGATAACCGTCGATTCAGCGAACTGTGCTGTCCGTCCGTGAAATCGATCGTTTTCACACACCCAGAGCGAAACAACAAATTTCCATAATCTTACAAAGCTTCGGAGAGTTCGACTTAAAATATCGTTCTAGATCCTTAAGCGCCTAGAAAATCTACGAAATTTAATTTTTGGTAAAACGTTGCATCGAGTGCCGAACTTTCGAGCGTCGCTGTCTAATCGAGTCGCAAGCCCTTTCGATGTCGAACATCGTAATGAAATAAATAGGATTAAAAGACGATGAAACAGTACGCTGTACAGCCGCGGAGTACATCTAAGTTCCGTTAAAGAATACAGTCAAAGTCCTCGATCGTCTTCGCCGTCGAATCAAATCCTTTCAGTTTCGAATATCTTGATCAGACTTCGGAGGTCCTCCTTTTTACAGTCTCTTCCCTGAAATGTCTAAACGAAATGTCTTCGATCGCGTGAGTCACAGTGTCGGGTCCGTGTCAATAAAAGTGAGAACATTTCAGACCAGAGAGGCGGGCAGCAAGATCAGCGGTAGAGGAAGTACGGGCCCGGAGCGCGGGCGGAAGAATTAAATACTAAAAAGAAGGCAAGAAGGTGCTGGCAAGCGTCGTCTGAGTAACAAAATCGACCCATCCGTGTCCAAAAGTCGCGTTCGATCGTCGCGAAATCGGGGCCCGGGGGTCAGACTGCTATCTTCACTTGACATGCGCCGAGTAGGCCAATTCGTGGGCGTCGGCCTGTCCAGGAATGGGTCCCTGACCGTGGAAGCTCCTCGCCCAGCCGCTGCTGTAGCTGTCCCCGTGGCCACCGTGCTCGCCGCTGAAGGTGTGGCTGGAGCTGTGGTGTGGATGCGCGACGACCTCGTATGTGACATGCTTCTGATGTGAGAACAGCTTCTTCAGTCCGATGATTCCAGCCAGGAGAAGAGCGACCTTGGAGAGTAGCAACGCCTTGCCGACCAGTATTGCTAAAGCTTTGAAGACCAGGCCTCCGATCAGACCTATCTTCAAGACCGCCGCGGCGATTAGGGGTCCAAGGTTGTTGTTCTTCTTCCCGCGACCTGCAAAGAAGGTGCGGGATCAGTCGGCTGTCGCTTTCGTCGGGGAAGGTAAAACGGGGACTTTCTATGACAGTAAACTCTGGCGAGCCGTGACCGAATTACTGGATGCAAGAACTCCTGGCGAAGGCGAGGTTGTAATTGTTTTCGAGTGAGAGTGGGAGGACTCGCCTTCGTTCGATCAGTGGGTTAGGCGATCGCTATCTAGATCGTTCTGTTATTCAGTGGTACGAGGAGCGATCTCGGAATCAGAAAGTGAGCTGATCTTAGAGCTGTTAGATTGCTAGCTGATCTTGGAGCTGTTAGATTTCTAGCTGATTTTGGAGCTGTTAGATTGCTAGTTGATCTTAGAGCTGTTAGATTTCTAGTTGATCTTACATCCAGATCGTTTTATGGTTCAGTAGTTTAAAGAGCAATTCCAGGATCAGTAAATTAGCTGATCTCAGGCTACCTAGATTACTAATTCATCTTAAACCTACATCGTTCAATTATTCCATGGAGCAATCCTAAGATCAATAGATTAGCTGTTCTTAGAACCACCTACATTGCTTAACGGATGAAAAGATCCAAGGTTTTAATTATTCAACAGTCCAAGAAGCAATCCCAGGATCAATCGCTTAGCTGATCTTGAAACTACCTAAATTGTTTAATGGATTTCTTTTTTGTCTAAATAGCTAGGATTGCAGTTACCATCCTGAACAGCAATGTTGTCAGCCCGCTCGATGGAGAGGCTGAGGTTCAAAGAACCGTTCTCATCTTCCGAGGCGGAGACCACGATGTCGTCCTCAGGGAGAATCCTCCACTTAATGCTCCTGGACCTGATGAACGCGTACACTTTGCTCGCGACAAGGTCAAGGACCTCGGACTCGTCGTCTTTGCTCCTGCCCGCCTCGAAGGTTACCACCTCCTCGGACACCTGGCTGGTTTTTCTGATCTCGATGTCGTCCGTCAACTCGATCGACGCCTTCTTCAGAAACTTGTTCATGTTCGTCACCAGCTTCAGCATCACGCAGCTGCTCAGGTGGTTTTGGGAACAGTTCGAGTTCAGTTTACGGAGCAGCTCCTCCTCGTACTTGGCACGGTCCGTGACCGTCGACGACTGCTCGAGCGTGTTCATCTTGTCGAGCTTCTCGAGCGGGTTCGCCAGGCAGGTCGCCGCGAAGAAAACCAACAGGAATGCCAGGATCGCCTTCATCGTGTTCCTCTGTGAACCATATTTACCATAAGCAATCGTCTTCGAATTATCTGATCTCAGATTATCGTTGATTCAATATTTTCGGAACTAAGTTCTATCAGATTTGGGCCCAGGATGATCCCGGAATATGAACTCCGGGTAATAAATTAATAAAGAAATAATTATTTTTCAGAACTAGGATGATTCAGTATTAATATTAATCTCAGCCTTTGAATCTGATTGGTAAAATAATAATTTCTGAACTTTAGACAATTTCAAACGAAGTGAATATCGAATAAAATTGTATAATATTTTATATAGGATAAAATATATTATGAACCAAGTTGTGGATAAAAGTTGGCTGCATTACTGGATTGTTCAATGCTTCGATTAGTGTAAAATATTTGTCTGTAATTTATAGTGATCTTAAGCTGGTGACATTGAATAAAATGATACGCATCCGTGACAAGAAATACGATCGAGAGATAGAGGTCTATGTCCGACTCGAAATGGTTGGTGACAGGAGGTAGAAAATTAATCGCACGTTACACTTTGCCGGTTGATAACACAGTGTTAGACGCTCTGTGTTTAGTACGTTAAACCGCATGATTTAGTGCTTCCCCACGCGTTGAAATCACCGGAGCGGCACACGACTTATGCTACTTCCACGCAAGCGGTCACATTAAATTTCAACTTTTTGCTCAAGTCACATTCCTGGGAAATTGCTGTTCGAGTACGTTATATGGGTCACCTAAAACGCTATAAATTCGCGCGTGCTGTTTCTCTTGTGACCTTCGCGATTTTCTTCATTTTCCGAAAGCAGTGAACAATGAAATTATTATTGTTTGGTTACCGGTAACAATTCTAAAACTTTCTACCATGATTCGCGTGCAGATTCTGAGGCAGCAATTATTTCTCCTGATTTGCAAATACGCATCCGAACGATTACAAAATAAAAGAACGATGGATCCTGTTATTCGAGTTTAAATTGGTCTAGATTTAATTTAATCACTGACCTGTGAATGTTTATGCAAATTTATATCTTCATGGACCGGTTAACGTACCGGAAGCCTATTAATAGGTAGATTCTTAATGATTGTTCGCCAGGGTTTAGATTAAAAGTAATGCATTTATCGATAAATAAATACTTAAAAACTTCTATGATATGTTAACATCGTAATAAAATTAAATGAAACAAATCTACCGAAACCCAAAATAAAAGATAATAAACTAATAAACTTCGCTAAATTTTACAACATACTGAATCACCGATAATGAGGCCTTTCATAAATGCTTCGTTTTAAAATACCACAGTCCATTGATCAAGATAGATGACTATTAACAATTATAATCAAACGATTATTAATTACAACTGATTTACGATGATCACGATCAGCCAATTTGCTATTAATAGATATAATAATAGCCTACAATAGCTATAATAATAGCCTATTAACAGATAGATTCCAAATGATTGATTCGTTGATAAAAAAGGACCCTCGAGGATCTCCTTCCACTGAATCATACTAAAACAATCTCTGCTATATTTGAACAGTAATCTTAATCAAAGATTAAATTCGATGAAAATGATCTACAAGGTGTTTCGTATACAATGTTTGTTACGATACAATGGGTGTTTCGAAAACAATGTTTACAGAATATAAATAATATAAAAGGTATCTTACGTAGTATTCACATTTTCTTCATTCATATAGTGGTGGAGGAAATTTCAAGGTCAACTTGTTTCTTTTTTTAAAATCATTTTCTTATTCGTATTACATCTTTAATCAGTTAAACGAAACACCCTGTACATTGAATCCCAAATAAAAGACAGTCGCGATAAACTTCCCCAAATTTGATAACCTACTGAATCACTGATAATCCGACTTACAAATGCATGTAACTAAAATAAAAAGTTCACTAATGCTCAAACAATTTCAAAATAATTTGCTATCAATTACAATCAACGATCAAAATAATTTCACCTTCTTTCCAACTATCAATTACGATCGATTTACAGCGTTAATAGCTATCGGCAGGAAACTAGACAAATTAAAGGTCAAATCCCGACGATGCGACGGATCGTTATCTCATGAAATCTGTAAATCCCCGAGATCCCGAGACGAAGGTCGAAGGTAATCTGTTCTGATCACTGACCTCGATTCGGATCCTCTGGAGCGTAGACCGGAAGCTGGGTCGAGGGCACACTGCTGGCGCCTCTTCTCTCTTCCTTCTTCTGTCTGGGCTGGGTCCGTGGTCGGGCGCTAGTTGTCACCCGATGCGTGGATCGAGCGTGTCGAGTATTCTGAACCCGCGGTCTCGCCCCGGCCACTTTATATACGTAGATCTCCGGGTTAACAGAGGCAGGCGAGCAGCAGCCTGGCCACGCGAAAACGTTTCCCGCACCGAGCCGCCGTGGTGCCCACCACCTGGGGCCCCGCTTCATGGGGAGGCGGGTGGTGCCCACTTTTGCCTTTGATACGAGCTGGCTGGCTGGCTGACTGGTCGCTCGGGTATCCGGTGGTGGGATCTCTGTGATCGACTGCCTCCTTCTACGCCTGAACAGAGAACCGACCCGATCCAGAGACGAGGTCCTCCCCTCGTCGCGAAAACTGGTTCCCTCGTGAACACCTTCGGTGACTCTGTCCGACTGGGGCCACGCACACACTCTGACGAACCCCCTGGACGTCGTCCTCCTCGTCCTCGTCGTCTTCCTCTTCCTCGACGCCTTCGTCTTCGTCGTAGGGTCCCACCGATCCACCGCGAGAACCGTGTCACGGATGTGGAGCACGCACGCCAATGGCCGAATGCCGAGTCGTTTTGGTTGCGCGAAGCCGAACGCACCGAGCGATCGCCGCCGACTTGCGATCTACCTTGCGCCGTGAAATTGTCGCGCTCTCGATAGGGAAAACGTTCGAACCTACGGCCAATTTCCCGGTCTGTCCTCCGCCGCGGCATCGCGCTTCCTCGGCACCCGATGCGACTTTTCAGGGTTTCGCGACGAGCTTGGGCGTGGTTGCGGCCGCCGGACGCTGCCGTGGGTGTAGCTGCTTGCGTTTTCCACGAACTATTTTCTACGGCTGGTGATCGCGATTGGCAGCTCTGCGATTTGTTCAATTTTTACCGGAATTTAGGGTTTACGCATGCGGTCGGCGGAGGCTGCGGAGCAAATTCTGGAGAAGCGGATGCAGCTTTTCGGTGCATCGAGTGTTGGAGACAAGATACAAGACGATACTTTTGATGTCGAAGTGACGTAGTTTTCGGTGAGATTTGTTGGCAGTGTAATTTTAATTATCGACGCACCGATCACGGTGTTTTTTATAATCTAGGTTCTCCTGGAAGATCCAGACGCCGTTATCATTTGTCCAGATCTAAGTAAGAAATTAATCATTGCACGAACATCTTGGATCTGCGAAATTGTAGGTTAGCAGAGATGCGAGTAATGTCCAGTTTTTATTACGCTCGCTAATTGTGTACAAATTTTACGATGCTTTTACGAGTCCGGCTCCGGCGGCGTTTCCTCGCGGCAGCTTCTTATAAAAAAAAAGAAAAATAGCACGGGCCGATCGGGAGAAGTTATTAAATTAAATATATTGAAATGAGGGAACCGGTGATCGTGGGTCACCGTATCTCGGATACGTCTTGGAGAGACGCGGAGACGGAGGATCAAATCGGGGCGAGCAACAACTGCGGGCAACGGGGCCCGGCGTTATATTACGCTCGTAAAGAAAGTAAATATCGCGGTACAGCGTGCCGTAACAAGGAACAATTACGCCAGGGTGGAACAACGTGTTCTGGACGGTCACGTATGACGAAGTGTGCCAAGTTCGAGCATGTTTGCAGGTCCCTGCGAGTCTGCTCAATTAAACCGAACCGCTTTGGACGATTAACAGGCCGCTATGCGGAAGGAGTTTCACTCGATTATCAACCGAGCTCGCCCGTTGCATCGTGGAAACGAAAACGATCCTGCGAGAACTCGTGCGAATCTTCGGGACCACTCCGATCAACGCCCGAACACCGCGCCGATGCAAAGTTCTAAGGCGGCGCCTCTGAAAATTTGGAAATCGAGCATCAGATATTATTACTATGTTATTTCTCATAGAAAGTCAAGGTTTCAACCCTTCTGAATCATTTCAATGCTTGCTGGAGGATCTGAATAATTCTGGTTATATTAAATTAATTTCTCGAAAGACAAAGCACGTTTTTATATTCTTCACGGAGATCTATGTTTCGATTTGCATTGATTATTGCAGAAACTGTAAAGAAAATATTCGTTAAATTTGTTTAGCTTTCGAGACTGTGAGCATTCGATTAAAAACATTTTTCGAAAGCATACAGCATGCTTTTTAGTATGCTAGATTTATAACAAATTAATCTATAAATTTAAAATTTATAAAAAGAAATATAGTAAAGGAAAAGAATAAAGGATTTTAGAACAAAATTTAAATTTACGTATGAATTTGTGATCAACTTTAGAATTATGTATCAATGTATAGTAAAGTTTAAATAATTTTTGCAGGTCAAAGACCAAGCCTCAGGTTCAAGTGAACGAGGTCCTCGAAGTTCCTCGTTCCAAATAATTCCAGTCACTGCAAGGAACGATCTCCAAATTTCTCGAAATCTGGACGCTCTAACGAACCTAGGAAAAATATTGTTCGATAAACACGCTCTTCGTGTATACTCGATTCCTGTTAGCCGATGTCCAAGACTCGAAGAAGCGTGTCGTTTTCTCGAAGTTCAAGGCCCCGTTCCGACATCCATAACCAGAGACGTAGCTAGCACATAAGAACAGCGATTTATACAGTCATTATAATCGGCGAGTCTGCGGTTCACAGAACAACTTTGGAAAAAAGAAGCGCACGCTGCGCGCCCCTGTTTTAATAGAACACTTTCCACCGATCGGGCCGATCGGTGCGCGCTTCGGTTCCCGATAAAACGGAACGGGCTACGCAGAACGGAACCCATTTGTTCCGTATTCTCGATACACTTTCGTGGTCAGGCGACACATCGGACAAGAGAATAGAAGAAAAGGAATCATGCTAGAAAGCAACGCCGCGGCGGCGGCGGCGGTGGCTAGTATTTGCGTTCCGGTTGATAGACGAGCATCTGTATAAGAGGAGTCGTCGTTCTTGAAATTCTTGACACGACTGGCTATTAGACTTCTGGGTCTGCCGTAGAGATCTCCGCGACGGAGAAAAACGACCACGCATCCGCTTTTCATTCTTCAATGAAGCCTGCACAAGCCGGCTTTCGCAAGATGAATGACGCAAAACGGTGAATCTATGTCGAACCTAATTTACATCGTGTTCATCTTCATTCTGTAGTTGTTTGCTTTGCATGTTTAATCGCCACAGGAGAAAATGCAGTCTCGACTCTTCTATGCGACCGATGACTCCGCCATTTTCCGCAAACAGTCTTTTGTACGAAAGCTGGAGACTCTTCAGTTGGAATTTAAATTGTCGGTAAAAGGGTTAATAATGTGCTTGATTTAATCAGTTAGCTGTTGCGACCTCTTTGAGGCGTGCGTACCTGTTATGTGTCGCGAAAGGTAAAAGATGACGATTATAGAATACCATAAGCATAACCCAGAAACTATATTTGCACTGTTTCATTTGTTCGTTTCATTTCGTCTTGTAGAATTGATTGGTTATAATTGCAATTTAAATAGCAAATTTCTTCGTGACGAGTATAAAAAACAGCTGATAGGTTAATTTCTAGAGTATTCAGAAACAGAACACGATTGTCCATTTTATATTCTAGCTTCTGGTTACATTGTCCTTGTCATCTTTTTATCTGTCGAATAGACGAACAAACTTGAAATTGAAATTAATTAGGATTTCGATATTGAAAATAGCTGCTATTTTATCTCTGGCACGCGGCTGTGAAAAGAGAAAATGTTCCGACGATAAATTCCCACTGTTAGTCGCACAAGTGCCATACTAGAGCTCATGGGAATAGCACGTGAAACGAGCCCCTTAGGGCGAAAACTTCGAGCGCAAGTAAATCGTTCGCATCCTCTATCTGCAATTCCGCGATCGAACATTCGGGAGCGATTCCTGGATACGGGAATTATCGTTCCAGATTGAAAATCGGCAGACGTTCCAATTTCCACGGTCGCAGAGAAACATCGCGAACGGCTCGTTCTGGCTAAACCTGTGCGAAACGCAACGGAGCCGAGTGGCAAACGGCAATGAAAAAACGAGAAAAAGTGTGCCGGCGCTGAATCGTATATGGTAACCGATTATTCGCCGCGGCCGGCACGATCTCACGGTCCCGAGGATGTGTTTTGGTACACCGCGGACCATGACGTCGCATTCCAATCGGTCGATTCGTCAGGGTCACGATCGCGGGACTTGTTTCGCCGCCCAGACAGCGTGGGTGACCGGTTCCCGGTGAAATCGGAAGATCTGGATTCAGATCGACGCTTTGTTTCTAGGATTTAGGATCGCAGTGCCGCTGGTATCAAAGAGTTGTTTGTGAAGCTATTTTATATAAAATTTTAATGATAATTATTTTATTTTCTGTCTGACAGAATTCTTGGATGGAGAACAAAAATTCTATCTACGTTAATTTTAACTGCAATATATTTTTAAAAATTTACAAGTTTAACGTTCGTTATCATCTTTGTTTGTGTTTAACAAGATTCTTGACTGAAGAATAAAAATTCTATTTATATTGATTTTAAGTGTAACATATTAAAAATTTGTTGACAAATTTAACATTCATTAACATCTTCGTTTGTGTTTGACAGAATTCTCGAATGAAGAACAAAATTCCGTGTCCGATGGAATTGTTGAACAGAGAACGAAATATCTATATTAATTTTAGATATATTAAAAGTATTTCAACGAGTTTAATAATTGTTATTATTGAATTTTCTGTCAGATAGAATTTTTTAATAAAGCACAGGGTTTCCGATTTATCTAAATATACTAACACGAAAAAATGTGCGTTAGTAATTGTAAATGATTATCATAAAAAACGTCACATTAAGAAAATAACTGACAGACCGGAGCACATAATATTATATTACTAAATTATTATAATACCAAATATTTACCAAATATTTACCAAATTATTACCAATATCATGATACCAAATGATACTGCTGAGTATAATTCTGTGCATTAACCGCCGCGGAATTCACGCTTTTACTTTGACGTACATATTGGAAAAAAATACCAAAGCAAAAGATATAAAGCCGTAGATTACCGTAAAGTAATAAATAGTACATTGCGTTCGGTATCGAGTCGATGAAGAGAAACGAACACATTTTTACGGTATTAGGAACACATCCGTTTAGAAGAGTGAAAACCGTGGAAATCCATTAGCGAACCGTTTTTCTCACACCTGAGCAAACAAAGTGGACAAGTTGACCGGAGGAAAAAATGCAGTTTCTCCGTCGATTTCAGTCGGAAGCGGTTGAAGAAACGATCATCCGAAGAGGCATCATCTCGACCAGCATTTCTCTCGGGTTTCCATCGTTTTTCATCCGGCTGTCCGATAACAGCAACGGATTTTACAAGATTCCGCGAACGGGACAAACCTGTTTAGCCCCTTATCGCTCAGGATCTTTATCAGCCTCTGGCGACCTATCAACCATTCACAGGATCATGCGGGATCTACCTCGATCGAACTTTCGGTCATCGAGCAGCATAGTTTCACTTTTCGCCCCCGTTCGCGTCGATTGACCCGAAACTAAAAAAACCAAAAATCATGCGTAATCTTCGAGTGAAATATATACAATTTATATCGATCACGCATTAATATTCGGGCACCTTTCATTGATGCCGGACAAATCAAATTTCGCATCGATTCGATAGATCGATTTAATTTTTATCGCGACTTTGACCCGCCGTTGCACAGGTCGTGGTTAAAAAGAAATTTTTCAGAGAGCAGTTGATCGGTTTAAACGCATCATTCTATTGTATAGATCGTTTGTCATAGATCTCGGATACGACGGACCGGCGCAGCAGTTCGAACAGTGTCCCGCGATCGATCGGCCCGCGAAAAAATCAATACGAACGGTAACGCGTCAAGGAAAAAAAATGAGAGAACAAGGTTACCGGGAGAAAGTTAACGAAACAGGTAGACAGGTATCAAAGCGATACGGCAATGCAAATCGGTGCTTCGCACGTGACTATTCGGTCGCCGGGATTCGATCGTTTAATTCCGATTTGATCGATAGCCGAACGGTTTCTGAACGCCGTGCGCCTCGCCGACCGGTTTCTGCTGCTCGACGGAAATAGGATAATCGCCGGCCGAACGCTATCCCGCAAGAAGGTGTGTCTGCTTTTATTTCGCCGGCTGTTAACCCGCGGAATGCTCTCAGGAAAGCAACGCCGGTTTCTAGGAAGAAGACATAATAAATCCTCGGACGCGATGCTTTGATCTTCTGACCCGCGCCAGTCCTCATCCGTATACTAATTAATTAGCGCTGCGTCCGTCGGCTATCTTGATGGAATTCTTCGTTTCAGCAAGACTTATTTCGCATCAGCCCGTGCTGTTCTTGATCGCGATCTAACAGAGATTTATCGACCTGCAGCTTTCGGGTCTAGAATTTAGGTAACATGGTCCACGAATGCTCTCGTTCTAGTGCCATAATTACACCGCGGATTTCACGCGTTTCATGATCAATTTGGCTGGATGAAGCACCAAACAGTGAAATCGTTCGAAATATTTAGATTATGATATTTTCGAAAATGTATTTTTATATAAAAATTATTATTTTGTATAAAGATTCGTAGCCAGGTCATAATCGCGCATGATCCAATAACAATGTCACGAACAACCTTCCATAGAAATTATTTCGTAAAATTGCCGATCGAGTTGCTGAATCATAGATCTTTATTTCTATGCATTTATCTCTTACAAGATATATTGAAATGTAAAATAAAGCAACGCGGGTGCATCTTGAGTGCACTTAAGACACTATTAACTTTCGAAAGTATAAGAATTGATACATCCGCTTCATTTTTGCCATCGATGATAATTCAGCTGTTGAAATCAATTTACTCCGCTTCTGGATTGTGCAAAATTGTGATCCGCGTAGTCGACGAGAATCTTGATTTGTTCTTGATCTTTCACGGGGCGAATCAACTGTTCGTTGTCTCGAGGCTGTTCGAATGAACCCATCGACGTGAAGAGGGTTCGTCTAGGAGTTCGCAATTCTCGTTTCCGCAATTTCCGTTTCGAAGGCTCGCTATTTTTTTTCCCGGGAACGTTCCAATCTCGACCGTTCCACGCAATTTTCGGATTCCACGGCGTCGCTGAGGAATGCCGGCCGCCATAACGGAAGCGTGCGATTTCATTGTGGGATCCCCGGTTGAACTGGTTCGCAAAATCGCCGGTTTTTGCGATCGGCGACGCAACGTGCCGCACGGCTTTCCGTGTTTTCCGTGTATCGCCTCGGGACTGCAGACCGCTTCCGGTCTCCGGATCGAATGAGGCCACTTGGTCAACAGGTCCGTTTCATCCGATTCTCTGGATCGCGAGTGAGAATCGCATCGAACCGGTTGCTGCATATCCAGTCGCCTTCCTCTTCCTCCTTCCAGCATCTCCGAGAGACGAGGCGAAGGAGTGAGAGCGGGAGGGGGGAGAGAGGGAGAAAGAAATCAAGAGAGCCGGGAACGAGATTTTCACGCACAGTTTGATCGAATCGAATCTCTTGTCCGACTGTTGTCGCATTAAGGAACAAGAAAACGTACAGACGACGATGCCTGCGAACAATCTCTGTCAGAGGATGGCCACTTAATCGTACGCTATTCGTGTGGGTAATATTCTATTATAATATATTATTATATTACATATTAATAATAATAATAATATATAAATATGACAATAATAATAATACTATAATGTAATATTATATTAATATCATTATATTATTATATTACTATATAATTAATATATAACTATATTAACATATAACTTACTTATTTCATATATAATATTAATATATAATTATATTATTATATTAATATCATATTATAGTAGGTAATGTTACATGATATAATATAATATTATGTTATATTATATATTATATTATATTATAATATTATGTTATATTATATTATATTATATTATATTATATTATAATATTATGTTATATTATATTATATGTTTTTGTTTCAAGAACATCATTTTTTAATCGACATTAATGACTCATAAATGATAATGAACGAAAGGATGAAAGCATAACAGTCGTATCTTTATCATATCAACTTATTGTGAATTCTAGGATTACGAAATATCCAAAATAGATATATTTCGTAAAATAAATATCTCAAATCTAATTCCAAAATAATTACAGATTTCATTCATTTAAATCAGTAACGTTTCGTTTGGCGTTTACTAATAATTTGCCAAGCTTAGACATTCCAGGATGGAGGAACAGGAACGAGCGAAATCTGGATTTTCTCCCGGTTTTCGATTATTCCGGCAATATATTATCCGTCGCGGCGTTAAGCTAAACCCATAGGACGGGGAAAGGAAGGCGTGGCGACGAGCTATAATCTGTTTTGTACGTAGGTTGAGGTCGATGGTCCCATTTAGCATCAGCACTTCCGGCCGGCGAAATTAATGGCGGGCCGGTGGAACGCGAGCAAACGTGAAAACAAAATGGTCCGGGGTCGCGTATCTTTTGAACGCATCGGGGAACCATATGAGGATCGTTTTCACGCGGATGAGAACGGTAAAGTACCATAAAACGGCCATGACGGCTCTCTCGCTCGGCTATACGATTGCGCGACGTTGAAAGTAACCCAATTTAGCGAAACGAGAGACGAAATAAAGATTCATTTTATAACACCGGTGCGTTCTCTTCTCGTTGAATCGTTTCTAGAGTAAAAAATACAAAGTGTTAAAAGCGAACGACTGGTTCGTATATATTGATACTAATCGCTAGCACAGATATAAAATACAAAATCTTACGGTACTACGAAATAAATAATTTTCTGGTGAAAGTGGCGAGACTTAATAATAACTAAGTAATATTTACAGGCCGACACAGTGTTGCAAATGATCACGTGGCTTCTAAGTACAATGTATAGCATCTAAATAACACGCTGTTCATATATAGTAACATCCTGCAGCGTGAAACCTCGAAATTTCTCCTAAAACGATCCTACTTTCATCTCTCTACAATTTTAACAACTAAATAAACTCTTCTAAAAGATATCGAAAAATACTCTTTTAACTAAACGATTGTTAAAATTTGTCATAGAAAGATGCGGAGACGCTATAATTTCGAGATAGAAGAAGTCATGGAGATAGAAGATGGAACCTTCTTCTACATTCAGTGACCTTGAAAGTATCGATTAATCTGGCGAAAGTATTTATCTATTGTAGGAGAGAGTATTGAGTATTATTTAAAGTAATGCTGAAATTGTTCAGCTTTTTACGACTGATACTCTCGGTAGCCTCGATAAGCAAGCTCCTGGCCGAAGGACACGGTGTCCCTATGGTAATCCTGGTACTCTGGACCGTGATGAGCGTCTTGCTCATGATACGCATAATTATTCGAATTGTCTTTGTAATAAGGGTAAGCGATGCCACTCTGACTGTACACTGGAGGATGATAATTCTGGCTGAGCGGCTTGTACAGCTTGAAGAAGCCAATCAGACCTGGTATCACGATCGCCAAGAAGCCGAGGAACTTCTTGAAGGACGCCAGACCCAGGATCAGAGGTAGGAACAATAGTAATTTCAACTTGAATAGCTTCAAGACGATCAGCATCGGTAACAGGAGCTTCTTGAACTGATGGCGAGCTGCGATAAAGACAATTATTCAATTAAACATTCTAAACGGAGGGTGTTTTAGAGAAGAGACTTACAAAATAGAGTGTCCTTTTTGTTCTCCAAGGTGTCGATCTCGTCCGCGATTTCGTCTAAAAATCGAGGAGCGTATACTTCGTTGTCCCCAGTCTGTTCCGATGGAATGTGAAGCTCGATGGCTACCGTTTTCACAAACTTCTCTGCTTTTCTTAGGGCGAACTTCATTAATTGGTCCCATTCCGAGTCGCTGGATCTAAAAATGAAATACAGAATGTTAGTAAAAGTCGCCGAATTAATTCACAATTCAATGAAAAACATGTATAGTAAAGTACTACGGCAAGTTGTGTTATAGGACGATTCGTTATAAACAGCAAAGTAATCAGTAATTATAATAGTTACTAAATGTAAGATATTATCTAAACGTGATCAACGATAGCCATGAATTTCTCTTTCAATTATTTTCGACTATATTATCGGCTACAGTGAGAATCAGCTATTAAACATAAACAAAAAAGTATGTAAATAGAAATCATGCTCTTTCGCTTAATTTTCTCTTGATAGTCCTTTTAATTTTTTTTAATAGAAATACTTTTAATAAAATGTCTTTCTCTTAACATACAAATACAATTTGTCCAGACTATAGACACAATTAAAAACTAAAATTTGAAGTTTATATTAAAATATACAATTCTTCTACGTCAAAATATTGCTCTCTCTCTCTCTCTCTCTCTCTCTCTCTCTCTCTCTCTCTCACCAAAAGTAATTTAGCAAAGCGTTCCACAANACGACTGGTTCGTATATATTGATACTAATCGCTAGCACAGATATAAAATACAAAATCTTACGGTACTACGAAATAAATAATTTTCTGGTGAAAGTGGCGAGACTTAATAATAACTAAGTAATATTTACAGGCCGACACAGTGTTGCAAATGATCACGTGGCTTCTAAGTACAATGTATAGCATCTAAATAACACGCTGTTCATATATAGTAACATCCTGCAGCGTGAAACCTCGAAATTTCTCCTAAAACGATCCTACTTTCATCTCTCTACAATTTTAACAACTAAATAAACTCTTCTAAAAGATATCGAAAAATACTCTTTTAACTAAACGATTGTTAAAATTTGTCATAGAAAGATGCGGAGACGCTATAATTTCGAGATAGAAGAAGTCATGGAGATAGAAGATGGAACCTTCTTCTACATTCAGTGACCTTGAAAGTATCGATTAATCTGGCGAAAGTATTTATCTATTGTAGGAGAGAGTATTGAGTATTATTTAAAGTAATGCTGAAATTGTTCAGCTTTTTACGACTGATACTCTCGGTAGCCTCGATAAGCAAGCTCCTGGCCGAAGGACACGGTGTCCCTATGGTAATCCTGGTACTCTGGACCGTGATGAGCGTCTTGCTCATGATACGCATAATTATTCGAATTGTCTTTGTAATAAGGGTAAGCGATGCCACTCTGACTGTACACTGGAGGATGATAATTCTGGCTGAGCGGCTTGTACAGCTTGAAGAAGCCAATCAGACCTGGTATCACGATCGCCAAGAAGCCGAGGAACTTCTTGAAGGACGCCAGACCCAGGATCAGAGGTAGGAACAATAGTAATTTCAACTTGAATAGCTTCAAGACGATCAGCATCGGTAACAGGAGCTTCTTGAACTGATGGCGAGCTGCGATAAAGACAATTATTCAATTAAACATTCTAAACGGAGGGTGTTTTAGAGAAGAGACTTACAAAATAGAGTGTCCTTTTTGTTCTCCAAGGTGTCGATCTCGTCCGCGATTTCGTCTAAAAATCGAGGAGCGTATACTTCGTTGTCCCCAGTCTGTTCCGATGGAATGTGAAGCTCGATGGCTACCGTTTTCACAAACTTCTCTGCTTTTCTTAGGGCGAACTTCATTAATTGGTCCCATTCCGAGTCGCTGGATCTAAAAATGAAATACAGAATGTTAGTAAAAGTCGCCGAATTAATTCACAATTCAATGAAAAACATGTATAGTAAAGTACTACGGCAAGTTGTGTTATAGGACGATTCGTTATAAACAGCAAAGTAATCAGTAATTATAATAGTTACTAAATGTAAGATATTATCTAAACGTGATCAACGATAGCCATGAATTTCTCTTTCAATTATTTTCGACTATATTATCGGCTACAGTGAGAATCAGCTATTAAACATAAACAAAAAAGTATGTAAATAGAAATCATGCTCTTTCGCTTAATTTTCTCTTGATAGTCCTTTTAATTTTTTTTAATAGAAATACTTTTAATAAAATGTCTTTCTCTTAACATACAAATACAATTTGTCCAGACTATAGACACAATTAAAAACTAAAATTTGAAGTTTATATTAAAATATACAATTCTTCTACGTCAAAATATTGCTCTCTCTCTCTCTCTCTCTCTCTCTCTCTCTCTCTCTCTCTCACCAAAAGTAATTTAGCAAAGCGTTCCACAATTTCCGCGTCATGTTTGTCTATGCATCTGAATCTACTAGTTTTCGAAACATTTTTCGATACATACCTTGCCTCCCCGGAATATTCGTACGGCTGACGATTGACTTCCTTAACCACGTCCCTAGACATCCTCACAACCTTCACGTAATCGTTCAAGTCGTAATGAGGGTGATCGAAGAAGTCTGAAAAGTAACTCAACGCCTGAGACTTGAAACATTCCGCCAGATCACCGTTCAGACAACCCTTGTTCGTCTTCGCTATATAGGGATCTACATTTCGTCCTGTTCCTAGACCGATCCAATCGAAAAGATCTTTGCCCTGTCTGGTCCTGTTGAATGTTGCTTGCGCTTGCGGGTCCGGTACATTGTTCTCTAAAAATAAATACAAAATTAATCGATCCATTCATTCGTAAGTGATTTTAGAAATAAATATTTCGAAGCCTGAAGCCAGAAAAATGTGTCTCGAAATTTTCATTCTAGAACTATGATGTTTAGATCCACTTTGACGTATATAAATTATTTTAAATCATTCAGGCAATAAAATAAAATTGGTAGCTGTTTGTCGAGAGATCGAAAAAATGGCAATAAAAGAGGAAACCAGAAAGCTATTGCTTTAGAAATTATTGCTACTATCAATTACTGTAGATAATAGCGATAAAAAGTAACGACAACAATGGTAAAAATAATAACTTAAGATCTAAAAATGGTCTCAAAGATTGTCAACACACTACAGCAATAGCAAACGTCAATTTGCGAAGATGTAAACGCTGGCGTTTCGTTCATCAACGAGCGCAAGCATCAAGCTGCCGAAACAAAGCTATCGAACACATTCGGAACTCACCTCGAGCCTCTGATTGGTCGCCGACTGCCCCATCCTCGAAGGTAACCGACTGACATGGCAGCAATAGCATCCACGACAGCAGCAGACCGCGGATTACCAGCAACGGAACGAGTCGCATACTGCTCACCTGGACGTTGCACCTGCAGTGACATCACCTTATCGACACTCGTTTCACGTGGCTCCCGTATTGCTAATTAACGGAACACTCTCTCACGTGCTCGCGTTAGCTGTCGTCGCGGCTACCGATACCATTTTCGACAACGAGATCGCGGAAAACAACGAATTCCTATCCTACGTCGAAAACGTTTGTAGATGTCTGATCGAGAGAGGAGAAATTTTCTAGATCAAGAACGACGCGAGGCGAGGGGGGGATCGTGACGGTTTTAGTTGATAATAATCGACACCTCTTACCAGCACTCCGTCAAATCGCCGGCTTCCCGGACGCCGTGATCGGCGGCATCGTTTCACAGTTTCGGGGAACGAAAAAAAGATCACGATCGTCGTGATTCACGAACAGCACTCGAGCGTCTGCCGCGGCGAGTTGGATCCTAACCGCGCCGTAGATCCCTGGGAAGTGCCGTTACCTCGGCGGGCCAATCGGCGATCAGGGTTGAAAGGAACCGGGTCCGTAACCTTGTATTCCGACCGCGCGTCCATGGCATTCGTAACGCTGATCACGCACTCTCCTCGATCCAGCGAGGATCGTGGCATCCCGAATTTCCCTGACACGTTGCGACGCGATTCGCTATCCTCGCTTCTACTCTAATCGCTAGATGCTCTCGAGTTCTGTCTATCGAAGCTCTGTCTCCACGAAGGGAACCTTCCACAATTTTCACAAATTCTAAGAGCTATACACCGTTGACCGTATCATTTTGATTTTGATTGGAAAATGTGTTCTTTCAACGTTGCCGATGTTTTTTGGACTCTAAATTGCTCTATTTTCTGTGCTATTTTCGATGAAATTTTTGAAGGAACGTTATGATCTGCACATTTAATTGCCAAACAATCACGTAATATGTCCGCTAAAACAATTAATTACACTAGCGTGCTCGTAGAAAGCTGATTCGTTAAAAATTGGCCAGAAATTGAATCTAATAGAACAATAATTCGCACACAATTCCTAAGCTAATGCTTTCCCGAAATGATTTAATCAATCCTCGAACAATTTCCTAACAAATCTAGATAATTTTGTGCGCGCTCGTACAGATTTCGTCATCGCGCGTCGTCATTCTGCGTGCCGTCGATTAACCCGTTCCACACCGATCGCATAAATACAGAACAGCCCATTAATTCCGGCAGCGACTCGGGGCAACGAATTTGTTCACAGTTAGTTAGCCAGCTAAGCTTCGAAATCAACACTCCGATCAAACCGGCTTCAGCAATTAGAAACAAGCTGCTGGATTCAACTTCCTCCGAATACCTAAATCAATCTTCCCGTACTCTGAGCCGCGACGTCACAAAGCACGCGAGAAATTCCGAAAAGAAAGTATTTTAAGGATAACGGTATATACCACAGTGCACTCGCCGTTGAGACGGAAGAAAGTCGACTGAGGAATATTGGTCGCACGGAGAGCTTCGTTCCACGAAGCGGCCGATTTTCTGGCGCGATTCTCACCTTTTCTGACGAAACCGGGAACCCGTGAGCAGCCTGCCCAAAATTAAACGACGGCCGATTACGCGGCCAGGATGAACATAGAGCGACTTCGAAGCACTCCTTTCCTTTATATGAAGGAGTAAGCCGTCGGGCGCGTGGAAGAGGGGTGGAAGATCCGCGTGGGTCGCTGTCGCGTCGTAGGAAAAAAGACAGTTAAAAATCGAGAGTGAAAGTGGTCCCCGGATATAGGACCGGAACCGGGCTGTTTCGAACAAAGCGAGACGAGCACGAGCGAGATACGCGATCGCTGGACTTTCCTTCGCGATCGGGCGTGCGTCATCGGCTCCTTTCGTTTTCTCTCTTTCTCCGCGCCGCCGCTGATTCGCCGCTTGATCTTGGCCGGCCCTTTACGCAACTCGTTTCCAGAGAACCAGCCGGAAAATTACACTGTTGGCTAACGTTCCCGGAACGGTTTGCGCAAGAATGAGAAGATGATGTAGCGCAGTCACAGCATTTATTGGCGCACTGTACATGGACGCGGCTCGGGTCGCGTCGGGCCGACGGTCCGACCCAGCTCGAACAAATAAATAGTCGTTTAATTGAAACGCGGGAAACGTTCGTACATCTCGCACGATTCGTCAATAAATTAACATACGCGCGCGAAATAAATAAACTAGCGCCGAAGAGCCGGGGGCGACGAGCCCTTAGGGGCGGGTTTTTGCGGGGCTGTCGACACGCAGGGCTCATCGGCCGATGATTCTTCGCTATTTTCAAAGTCTAAGTCGTTGAACACTGTTCTCCGTTTTGGGGAAAATGGCGGCGTCGTAGACGCGGCGGCGCGACCATTTTCCGAGGAAATATGGGACCAGCTGATTCGATTTGCGGTGTGGAGTTTGCTCTAATCAGGACGCGTATTTTCCTGAATTTTTTTTTGGAGATGTCGATGTTGAACTGTCTTACGGTGTGAGAATTATGGAGGTACACTGTGCAGTAAACATTGAGGCAGGTTAATTAAGCGGGAAAATATTATTCCGAACGAAACACTCGTGTGCCAAAATGGAACTCGAATAATTCTTACAGGTAAGCGTTGATCGCACGAGTTGTAGTATATTGTCGTAGAATAATATTGTCCATCTTGATTGGTAACTATTAACATATTTGCATGAATATTTCAAATAATTTAATAATTTAATTATGACTAACAAGTAAGTCCCCGTAAAAATTTAATAAATATATGACTGAAGAATAGAAAATCGATCGATAACAAAAACACAAGAACTAAATAGAAATTTCCTTTTTTCCTTAATAACTATGATAATATTTTCCAATCTATCTACTGTTTCGAATTTGATTTATCTACTCGATTTATGTACTTGATTCATCAATCAATAAAATCGATATTCTAGTCATTTTGTCTCATGCTTTAGCCGGTCTTGTATATACTCCACTCTAATATCTGTTTGCCAAAACAATTTACAACAATTAGCCTGTACGAAATTCGCAAGGCTTTAATTTGAAACCGGTTGCTTTCGCGTTTGCATTTGTAAACATAAATTTCGATAGTTTCCAAAAAATATTAACATGCCTCCTGATCAAGCTTCTGAAATCTAAGACAGTGCTTCACCGACATCATCATCGTAAATTACTCATTGTCAGCATGGCCCCATAGTCGATCGATAACAGATCTCGAATTTCGTTCGAGCAAGCTGATATCGTGTATCTCGTGTTTACGCACTTCTACGGCTGTCGCACTTCGAGTCACATATTTCAGTCCTGTACACGTTCCAGCCGGATAACGTGTACCGTTATCACCGCGGCCGATGCGATCATTATCATTTTTGCTCGTCGCACTGTCAACCTCTCGCGACAAGCGTCGTCCGCTTTTGATTGGAACTTTAATTGTCCTACCGGCCGGTGCGAAATGAATTCTGATTGTTCGTAATGACTCCGCAGGGGGATCGTTCTCTCGCTCGTTCGCGAAAGCTAGGTCGACGCACGATGGTATGCAAGCATGAACCAGATAATACTCCTTGCGCAGACGATGGAGAGTTCGAATAATTAAAACATCGACGTCCGTGTGCCTGGTCGTTCCTACTGATCCTAGTTTCCCAACCATTTTCGTCAGCAATTCGCAATTCTATTCGTTCAATTTCAAGAAACCAGACAGAAAATATACGAAGTAATTAGCGTAGCGGAGCCAGTTACCGTGGGGCGACCAATTGCTGTGTCTTTGGTTGTGTCCTTTCGTTTTCGGACACATATTTATATTATCATATTTATCGAATAAGACATATTACATTTTTTTAAATTCTTATATCTCTTATATTTTCTAATTCTTTTATTCCGTTTATTTTTTAATAGCAGCTCTTATATTCTTTTATTCTGTTTATATCTTAACGAAAAGATTTGATACGTTTTACTCGATAAATATGGAGCGAATTATGCCAGGAGACAAACCAGAGGCGCAAAAATCGATCACCCTACCCAGGGAAACAATGACCCGAATGATTAAGTTTCTCTCCGAACAATCGTCGGACAAAGTGCTTCTCAGCATCGAAAACCGCCGAACCTCCAGCGAGACAATAGAATACCCGCACGCAATTCCGGCAATCTTCCCGCGCAGGCCATTACGCGTTTATGCACACTCGAGATGCCAGCTTTCTAGAGCATTAATCTCAGGAACGATCAAATCGAGCCCCAAATCAGTCCAGCTGCGTCGCATATAAATAAACCCTTTCGGGTCAGTTAATTTCCGCGGACCGCGTCTATAATTACCCTGAATCTCCGGTCTGCGGCTCAAGCGCTTGCATACCACGATCCTCGCAGAAAAAGAACGGAATCAACCCCGAGGAACAACTTCTCGAGGTGAGACGAGGACGCTTGGTCCTGAGGTCACGTTTTCAGTCCTGGGATCCATTCCCAGCGGCTATTCTGCTGCTCCATGTCGACCCTGAGGATCCTAGCACGCCTTTTACAGCTTCCTCGCGTGGACCAGCTTGTCGATGTCCTGATAGGTCGCCAGGATCGCCTGATTCTGTCTGAGGGACTCGTCGTCGCGCGCCGTCGCGCAATTCGTGTACGCTTCTTCGCATTTCACGCCGTCCTGGCCGTCCTTCGCGGCCTTCATGTACCGGAAGAACCGGAGGACATCCGGGTTGTCGCTGCTGGGCCTGCGCAGCTCGTTCAGCTCCCGTGACAGCTGCGCCGAGACCAGGTTCGAGTACGGGGCGTACCTCGCCGGGCTTCGGTACATCGCGCAGACCGTGTACTCTCTGCAACCCTCCGTCGTGTGACCCAGTCGCGAGAACACGGCGTCCAGACGGGACAACAGCGGCGAATAGAAGGGGTCGTAGTTCGTCAGCATCAGCGAGCTCGTCGGGATCTCGTGGAACACCTTGGTGAACAGTTTTTTCGGGTCAGAATGATGCTTGCGCTTGGACGCTGGTCAGGTGTGTAGAATTTATTTACGATTTACGGAGCACTAGAACTTTATATATATATATATATAGATAGATAGATAGATATAGATATATATATACATATATTATACTATATATACTATACTATACTATACTATACTATATACTATATATACTATACTATACTATACTATACTATACTATACTATACTATACTATACTATACTATACTATACTATACCATACTATACTATACTATACTATACTATACTATACTATACTATACTATACTATACTATACTATACTATACTATACTATACTATACTATACTATACTATACTATACTATACTATACTATACTATACTATACTATACTATACTATACTATACTATACTATACTATACTATACTATACTATACTATACTATACTATACTATACTATACTATACTATACTATACTATACTATACTATACTATACTATACTATACTATACTATACTATACTATACTATACTATACTATACTATACTATACTATACTATACTATACTATACTATACTATACTATACTATACTATACTATACTATACTATACTATACTATACTATACTATACTATACTATACTATACTATACTATACTATACTATACTATACTATACTATACTATACTATACTATACTATACTATACTATACTATACTATACTATACTATACTATACTATACTATACTATACTATACTATACTATACTATACTATACTATACTATACTATACTATACTATACTATACTATACTATACTATACTATACTATACTATACTATACTATACTATACTATACTATACTATACTATACTATACTATACTATACTATACTATACTATACTATACTATACTATACTATACTATACTATACTATACTATACTATACTATACTATACTATACTATACTATACTATACTATACTATACTATACTATACTATACTATACTATACTATACTATACTATACTATACTATACTATACTATACTATACTATACTATACTATACTATACTATACTATACTATACTATACTATACTATACTATACTATACTATACTATACTATACTATACTATACTATACTATACTATACTATACTATACTATACTATACTATACTATACTATACTATACTATACTATACTATACTATACTATACTATACTATACTATACTATACTATACTATACTATACTATACTATACTATACTATACTATACTATACTATACTATACTATACTATACTATACTATACTATACTATACTATACTATACTATACTATACTATACTATACTATACTATACTATACTATACTATACTATACTATACTATACTATACTATACTATACTATACTATACTATACTATACTATACTATACTATACTATACTATACTATACTATACTATACTATACTATACTATACTATACTATACTATACTATACTATACTATACTATACTATACTATACTATACTATACTATACTATACTATACTATACTATACTATACTATACTATACTATACTATACTATACTATACTATACTATACTATACTATACTATACTATACTATACTATACTATACTATACTATACTATACTATACTATACTATACTATACTATACTATACTATACTATACTATACTATACTATACTATACTATACTATACTATACTATACTATACTATACTATACTATACTATACTATACTATACTATACTATACTATACTATACTATACTATACTATACTATACTATACTATACTATACTATACTATACTATACTATACTATACTATACTATACTATACTATACTATACTATACTATACTATACTATACTATACTATACTATACTATACTATACTATACTATACTATACTATACTATACTATACTATACTATACTATACTATACTATACTATACTATACTATACTATACTATACTATACTATACTATACTATACTATACTATACTATACTATACTATACTATACTATACTATACTATACTATACTATACTATACTATACTATACTATACTATACTATACTATACTATACTATACTATACTATACTATACTATACTATACTATACTATACTATACTATACTATACTATACTATACTATACTATACTATACTATACTATACTATACTATACTATACTATACTATACTATACTATACTATACTATACTATACTATACTATACTATACTATACTATACTATACTATACTATACTATACTATACTATACTATACTATACTATACTATACTATACTATACTATACTATACTATACTATACTATACTATACTATACTATACTATACTATACTATACTATACTATACTATACTATACTATACTATACTATACTATACTATACTATACTATACTATACTATACTATACTATACTATACTATACTATACTATACTATACTATACTATACTATACTATACTATACTATACTATACTATACTATACTATACTATACTATACTATACTATACTATACTATACTATACTATACTATACTATACTATACTATACTATACTATACTATACTATACTATACTATACTATACTATACTATACTATACTATACTATACTATACTATACTATACTATACTATACTATACTATACTATACTATACTATACTATACTATACTATACTATACTATACTATACTATACTATACTATACTATACTATACTATACTATACTATACTATACTATACTATACTATACTATACTATACTATACTATACTATACTATACTATACTATACTNAACTTTTTTTTATTTTCTTTTTTAGCGTTATCGTAATACTCGCCGAAAGTAAAATATATATTGAATAAATAACACGTGAATGTATACTTTTGCAATCGGAATAGTCGTGAATTAAAAAATTAGTGATCCGCTATTTCCGTAAACCTAGCGTCTAAAATATTTTATACTTGAGAGAAAATAACTGTGCCACTGGTAACTGTACCGCAGTTAAGTTTTTAATATTCTTTTAACTCATTAACCCATCTTAGCTGATAAAAACGTCTTTGTTTATAATAACTTCCTCGAACATGAAGGCAGTTTTGATTCGTTATATAATTACGTTTGCTGTAATGGCTAAACGCCAGCAAAATGAGAATTTGATTTAGTATGCGAGCTGTTTAGTAGGCATCGTCTGGTGCATCTGACCATGGCTGGCTGAATCTACTCGCAAATAGATTTTCTCGCGCGGTGTTTACTCTTTCAGATATTTTCACCTTGAACATCAAAGGAATTTCTAAAAACATCGATGAAACTTGAACTATCGATAAATCTCCGTGCTATAATAACAGTAACCTGATCAAAGAATTATTTACTACTGCCTGTCTAACCGGAGAACGTAACGCACCGTGCCGTGCTCTGATTGTTTCTTTGTTCTTCGAATAGTGGAATGTCTGACATGTTTTTATTACGCATGTATCACAAACTACTGTAATTAATAATACTATAGTAAATCTTGACATCTGAAGCTACTTCCTTAAGTGTTCCAATCTTGTGCTTTATCATATCCATTTAAAAGTGTAGAAATTAATTCGCTGTTAATTCGAATTTAATCGCTTCTATCAAATACATCCTGCAGAAATTTTTACACATTGCGCAAAACACCGCGTTCGGCACTTTAAATACAGTTAACACTAGAACTACCGAGTCCTAGACGCGACTAATATATATTGTTTTATAACAATGCCACAGTTGGATTTATTTCAATTTATTTAAATTATATATATAATTATTATTATATATATATTTATTTCAATTATATATATATATAAGCTCGCATACTGAACAAAATTCTCATTTTACTGGCGTTTGACTATTACAGCCAGCGTAATCATGTAATATAAATATATATAATAAAATTGTGTTCCTAAAAATTTCTCCTAGAAATATTTTTCGGTCATTTTGATTGGTTTGATAGTTCCAGTGTCAAATAATAGTTGGAAAATTATTTGTACTACTTGTACATGTGGGCCAAGCACGCCGACACTGTTTTCAGGCGTCAAAGTGGGTGTTAACGATAGAAAATAGGTGTTACCTTGAAGTCCTGCTTTTTGCTCGACGAGAGCCCGTTCACGGCCACATGCCTCGTGTAGTATCGATCCGAGATCGCGTTCGCGTGCGTCATACTCGGGTTGACGAACGTGTACCGCGACGAAATCTCCGGGTTCTTCTGCATCATGCTTTCATCGTACATCGCCGAAGCCGGCAGCGTCCCCACCGGCTGTCGAGTTAGGTAGTCGTCGTTGTAGAGATCGGAATTGTCCTTGAATTCGAAATTCTCTTCCGGTTGAGCGGTCGTGTGCGCCGATTGCGCGAAAGAGGAAACACCTGCGAAGAAGTGTGTCAATCAAATCGTTCCATGCCAATCCACGCTTCAAAAACATCGTGCCGAAACCCCGATCGACAGACTTTCTCTTAACCCTCCAACCGCGAGCCAGTTTTTGATTTCTCGGTCTGAGGTCGCGGGCTAATTGTTGTGCAGAGGCGTCCTATGAATTAGGTGACAAAACAGATGTCGAAAGAGAAACAAAAATTTAGAGAAGAGAAGAATTTTTATTGTTATCGTGTTCCATCTTCCGGACACTGTCACTATTAGAATAAATTACACGTTTTGTCATTTTCAAAATTATGAATAGCATGTCGCACACAGTGTTTATCAACTGCCCTACTTGTCGATGGAAAACTGATTATAAAAAACTGATTATAACATATTTGCTAACTCAATTACGCAGAAATTGAGTAAGCAAATTTTACAAAATATTTAGAACGCGAATTCCACGTTGGCCGCGGTTGAAGGGTTAAATATTCATTCGGACTTTGCCGATGTCGCGCTAAAAAAATTTTCTGTGCGATCTTGAACGACAGGTGCGATCTTCAGGTGGCCTTGGAGGTGCAAGGTACGTCGTGAAGTTAGTTCATGCAAGATTTCAGGCATCTAGCCAGCTGAAGATCGCAGAGCGTTAATTATATCGACGATTTTTAAACCGATACTACAAAATCATGAACATGTAAGATATAGTAACAGCTTGTACGATATTGAACGTGCGCATATTATTTAGTGTAGATTGCCAATGAAAAATCATAAATCTAGAAGAGTATAGATCTTCGCGTCATGCAGATAGATTTGGTAAACAGAGACGAACAAACACTTCCAAGTGAAGATTCTGAACTTTCAACATTATCTTACTGATTTCAATCGAACGGAAGGGACGCACGTACCTTTGCCAAGGATATTACCAATACTGCCAATGATGCTGGGCAGGAAGAGCGCCAGCAGAACGCTCTTAATGATCTGCACGCCGAAAATCAGCGGCAGCAGCAGCTTCTTCAGGCCAAACGCTAGAAAACCAAGTCCGAATCCTGTTAAAAAGGTACTCTTTCCCTGAAAGATGGCTGAAAGCAAAAGTACCAGCGAATTAAAGCCCTGCGGTTAGTCCTGAAAGCCATGCTGCAGCCAGCATATTCTCTCGCCTTCTCGGTCTCTCTCTTTCTCTCTCTTTCTCTCTCTCTCGCAATCCAAGTGTCGTCCGCGAGCTCGCTGAAAATATCACTCGAGTGTGCGTAAAAATATTATTCGGTACGTTGCGATTCTTGCGATTAATAAGGCGAACGTAGTATGAATGGATTTGCCAATCAGCGGTGACCCAACCGGATTAATCATTTTTCAGCGCACACAATAAGCCAATCAGTGATGTGAGAAGCCGACGGTCATTCAAGTGTCGCGGGGCGTGAACGTTCCATTTTGTCTCCCTCACGTGATCATTTGCTCGTTTCGACGGTGTCGCGTGCACAGGCGGGGGCGAAAGTATCCACGGGAAGGATTAAGCATTTTCCCGCGCGAAGTTCCGTGCTGTTTCTGTGAACGTGCTTGTGTTGCGGGAAAATAAGTGTAATTACCTCAGAACTGCCTCTTTAAAGCGAAATTGCCATTCCGTTGCGATACAAACAATTGAATATAGAAATGGTCGTTTAACCTGTTAACCGGGCAATTGTTTCAATTTCTTTAATTAATTCTTTATACATTGGAAAAACATTTGATTTATGATATTGATTTTATAAATCTGACATCAAATATCTCGCCAAAATAGATAATCAACAAGCGAAAAGCGATTCTTTCGATTACTTCAAGCGTGATAATTAGACTGCGGATTGTATGCTTTTTCGACAAAAATGACCGAATCGGAAACAAAACTGCAAAAACATTAGACGAGTCTGAGAATATTTTTCAATGACCTTATTAAAACCAATAAAATTGAGAAGACGATTTTATACGACTTACGTTCCTTGCAATTAACTTCGACGATTTTTATTTTGAGAGAAAAGAGAAAAAGAGAAAAGTCCCCACATTGTGGAACGAGTTGAACGAAAGTTAATTGCCCGGTCAGCAGGTCAATAGCTCGTCAAGAACTGTCATGTTAAAATCGACAAAAAATCACCGAGCTCGCAAAATGTACCTCCAAAAGTCTTCGCCAAACATTGGCAAATCGGTAAATAATCCCAAGCCTCGAATGTACCTAAAAATGGCACATTGCGCGAAACGCAAAGAGCAACTTCGTACGAAAGATGCGAGCGTGAAGACACTTCCCTGTGCACATTCCCGCCACTACACAATGCACATGCACCGCCAACGGAAAGTTCCGAGCAGCTGCCTTGTCCGGGACAGCCACGAAGCTTTCAGTCGGCAGCGTGCACCGACCATGATATCCGTAACTTCGAAGCGTATTTGGGTCTTGACTATAGCGCCGTCTGAAACGGAATTTCTAAGAGTCCCCGCGAAAACCTGCCCACAATGAAACTCGAACCAGGAAGTACAACGATCGAGCATAAAACGACGAGCCGGCAGAAAGCAGGTTCTAGCTTTCGAAAGCACACATTTACTTTTCTCTTCCACTTCCTTTCATCTTCCTCTCGCGTTCCTCGTTTTCGGGAAAGTCGTTCGAACCCTTTAAGGCCTGAATCACATTGTCGCTCCTTAACCGCGATTCCTACTCTACATACGCGCGTCTATCGAAGCACACTATTTGCTACTTATTGTATATATATCGTGTTGTTCGTGGAAAGAAAGCTACACGCATATCTCCGTTATTCGGTTCTGGTGTGTAAAATTTGTGGAATGTCACGAAAGCTTGTGTCAGCATGATGGATTTGGAACGACCGAAGACAAACGCGATCTTCCGAATGTTTCGTGAATGTTTCGAGCCTTGTTCGTTAGACAAAAACGTCCAGAGCAGAAGAATCACGGTGTTCCTTGGATTCATGATAATTCTAAGAAGGAGAAAGAAGTCCTAATCTTATCATGAATTTATGTTTCGCTCAATGCCAATTAAGAACAGGACATCGTAATTTTCTCAGCTGTCCAAACGATAAATACAACTTCCGCTTCGTGCTGCTAGATACAACACTACTAACCATCGGAATAATTTCTTATCGTTCGACTGCGGATTTTATGCGTTTGTGTCAGAAGTGGTTCAGTTAAATACGAAGCTGCGAATACATCAGAATGAATAAAATATTGTGACACTATTGTTGACGTATCAGAGCCATTGAAAGAGGGAATACATTTTTATTTAACCTCTATGTCTTGCAATTAATGCAGAAAGTTTCTATTTTGCATAAAGACTCGCAGTCCGCGCATCGTCTTCGAGGACGTTAGAGAAAGTATTACCGCAAGTGCTAACCTAATCTATGGCGGCGATCTGAAGCAACAAGGTACCATGAGACCTCGAAGGGTTACTGTTTTCGAAATTAGCAAGAGTCGGCAGAAGACGGGCTACGATCAAGACCCAATCAGCCTCCGAGCACCCTTATCGCACACATACACAGTGAAATGAGGCAGGCGGGCCAGGCCATAGCAACATCGCTGCATCTTGCGCGGCAGGTGCGCGAGTTTACGAAAGCGTGACTCGACGTTCCGTGGACTCACCGTTGAAGAAGGTTCTAGCTTTTCTAGAGGGTACTGAGTCCTGGCTCAGACGTATCTTTACTACGTGTTCCGTGGCGTACCGGCGAGCTTTATCGACAAGGCTTGCGTCCGGCCGGTCGTTACCTTTTTCGTTCTTCCTAGCAGCGTCGTCGCTCCCTACAACCCCTTCTGACCCGGCGTGGTCGCTCCTTGCAACCCCGTCCGACGCCGCGTCATCGCGCGAGCTATCCTTCTTGGAGCAAGGTCCTGCCTCTTGCTCCGGACAGCGATTGTCCCCCGGGACAGCCGTCGCGTTCTCCAGCTTGCTGGCTTCGATCTGATACTGCGACTCGTCGTCGGTGTGTATCACCTGATTGACGTTCAGGTCCAGTTTGCTGGGCTTGCCGGGTGCTCCATGCGGATGGTCCGGCGACTCGTCGCCGGCGAACGACACCTCGTTGGCGATCGCGTCCTCCTGCTGACCGGTCTCGTTGAAGGTCGCCACGTGGTCCTTGACCCCGACCGCCGGCCCGAGCCACGCGACCGCCAGGATCGCCAGGATCCAGCCGGCTCTCGATCCACCCATTCCTCCCGGGCTTCGATTCGCGCACCGGATCCCGTCACTTCGCTCCCTTCTCTCGCCCGGCGTCTCTCCGTTGCCTCTGTTGCCTCTCTGTCTGTCTCGGCTAGCTACTTTTACTGCCGAAAGACAGCTGCATCGCGGTCCGCTGCGCTCGCTCGACGCCTCCTGCAAACGACAAAAACCACCTGACACAGCCGATCGATCCTTACTTTTCAAATCTTATTGCTCCTGCAGTTACGGGATTCCAGCGACAGACGACGTCAAAACGTCGTTGCGTGTTCGCTTCGTTTATTCCCTCACCTGTCGCGCGGTGATCGTCCTTCGATCGGCAAAACGAGCAAAACAATCGGCTAACTGTCTCCGACCGATAACTGTTATCGACCGGTGACACTGTCTTCCTCGTGCCAGGTTAGAGGTACTCACTGTCAAGCTGTCTGGACATCAACGTCGCTATGATCACCCCCGGTGAGTCGAAGAATTTTCGGGGGTTGTCCTGGTCCAGCAGCTGATCAGCTTCCTGGTGCGATCGACGATTCTGTCACAGAGACACCTCGCCGAGGGAACGATCGAGACGCCGGAATCGTGCGCGACGGTCGACTCGGTACTGGCGAGTCTCGCTCGGATCGACTGGACTGATCCGATCTGGGTTACCCGGCCATCCGTCTGTCCGTCCCTCTGTCCGTTCCTCTCCACCTTCCTCTCTTCCACGTTCGTCCATTCGTCGGTTCCGCTCCCGCCAAAGGAACCCTCTCTCTTCTCCAGTCTCTCCCTCTCTCTTTCTCTCTGTCTGTCCTTTCTCTCTCTCTCTCTCTCTCTCTCTCTCCCTTTTTGACGCGTCGACGGTTGACGTCCTCCTCCGTACAAAACCGATCGAATTCGACGCCGGTCTAACGACCAGGCCCGATTTCACCGGCCGGAATTTCGGCTGATGACGCTCGTCAGCCCGAAGTCCGTTTTCCACGATCTTTTCCTATCCTTGGATGCGACGGAAACGAACACCGAATTCTCTTGCCGGCGCATGGAAACTTTGGGAAAGATGAACGTTCAATTGGTGACACACGTCAATTTGTCGTCTTATCGGTCTGCAAGACAAGCTGTGAACAATGTGATCGCCACTCGAAGGTTAAATCGAGGATGCGTCGGAAAATTGTTACCGAGGCTCGATCTACTGTAGATTCGAACACTGAAGGCTCCCCTTCACAATCATACGCGATCTACAATTTTATTTTGACTGTTTTGCGGTGCAGAAACAAGTCCTGCCGTGTCACGTTGTGAGCTTCTGATAATTACCTTAATGCTTTAAATCGCTGCTCTGAACCAGAAACGCTTAACACTTTGCTCTGGACTGTTAATCGCGGTTCCTATAAAGTCCTCTGAGATGGTATAAAATTATTCCAATACTCGGAGACAGTGCATTCGATGCGAAAAAGCAAATGCTACATTATTATTATTATTTATTTATTTACGGGATGAAGAACCCCTTTGAAAAATATACAAAAAGAGAAGATCACGAATTAGGAGTCAAGACGACGATGCACCTGTCGCACAAAACACGCTGGGGTAGAGTAGAAATCCAATTGTTTACAGTAGTCGTTAACGTTTCTGAAAATTCTATTTATGCTCTTATTATCGAATGTTATTATAAATTATCGCGAAATGCGATATGGTTCCCTTGCTTGAAAATAGTTTGTTGCCTAATCCTCTGATTATATTTATCCATGACAAGATCTCTTTGTACTCATTTGTTATGGTACGTGACTAAATTAAATTCCAGACAGGAATCACGTTCACAATAGATCGTTTTAATTCATAGGAAAATTACAATCATTCTTCATCAAGCGTTTCACCTATTCTCAGATAAGATTTGTATTAAGGTTCGTGCTCGCCCGAAAATTCCGTGGATCTCCAAAGAGGTCGAGACTGAAAATTTAGTCCAGGTAATGGATCAGTATGCGCCACGGGTGTTTCGTAATGAGCTATTAGTTCTCGGCGACCGATTTAGAAAGGATGACGGCGAAGGAGCTCCTCAGCGTCGCGTCGCGTCGTTGACATCCACCGTACCTCGTGAGACAGCAGACAGCGAGTCTGAATCGAAATCGAAAATTTTATGGCGATTTTAGTTGGAATACTCTGGTAAACACTGTCGTTTTTCGCGATGGATGTTGCAGTTCCAGGTCCGATTGCTCGGAGAGCAGGCAGCGCAGTTCATCGTAGAAAGCTTAGGCCAATTTCCGTACAATAACGCCCGGGACGTGAGGATAATTCTAAGGCTGGTCCGGTGACTTCGACGCGTGGTCAAGCGCTATCGCCGATCCAACACGCGATACTGACCGTTTAACGTTCGCGCGTTCCACAGAAACGGTTCGTTGCACGGGAGATCGCAGGATAACAGTTCGACAAATTATGCTTCACTATTTGAACCTTCGTCCCGAGATGAATATAAGATAAAATCATATATATTCTCTTCTATCACACAAGGTGCGAAGAAGAAATTTCTTTCCCTTTACGAAAAACGCTCCTTCCCTTACCGCAAATGTTCGGTGCCCAAATCTACTTTTTTTCCCGAATTTTTTATGCTTTTCTCATTTATTAATACTGTTCGTGTACGTCTCTATCTTCTTCCAGCATAAAAATGATAAACGATAAAGTGCGGGTTACAATTATTGAATCGCACAAAGGAGGAATTAAGAACGCTGAAGATGATTGAAATTATAAATAATTAAAAATAATTAAAACTATTATTATCGAAGGCAGAGATCGACAAATGAATTGAAACTAGATATAAAAAATGCGCGAACGAAATTACAATGAAACAGAAAAAGCAAATTTGAGGCACTTAATGTAATTAATGTTGTTGTTCAGTATTGTGATTAATGTGTTTGTTAAACTGGTAAATTCTATAGAACATTAAATCGTGATGTCCTTATTTCCTATGCAGTTAAACGTAAATATACACACATAGGGACAGAATTATCTCTGCATCGTGTATACGTTAATTGCTAATGAAAGTTCACGAACGACTCGGGAACGGCGATCTAAGATAAGTTGCGTTCGATTTGCAATTCCGTAGGGAAAAAGAATACATTTCACAACGAAAACATGAAAGAAAATCGACGGTTCTACGGTGCCTGAAGCCGGAAAATGAATGATCACTTCGAAGGAATTGTTGCTGCCTTTCGACGACCTTCTTAGCAAATTACAAGACGTATTTTATTCGCGACGTTTTATTGCACCCGCGCGTCTTATCGAATGAATATAAGTTTCAATTGGAAGCTACCGTCGCCGAGGAATCCAAACGAGATCCGGTAACTCCATAGAATTTTATTTGCGACCTATTCGCGCCAATCAAACCTGCAAAATCCTCAGCAATCCCGGCACGGCTTTTTCTGTTCGGGTTCTAAGTGGGTTACTAATCCGGTTCCGCGCTTATTTTTCTCTGTCGTCGAAAAGATCGATCCGATAAGCGAGCATCGGTGAACCGCCTCCTTTTCCCGTGGGCTACGTGTAGATTATTCCCCGGCGCGGTACATAGAGGAAGCATCCGAAAAATCGGCGTCGATAACGGTAACGAACCCCGGCGCAGCGGTCAGGTGCCAGAAACGACAATCCAAACAAACTCGTCATGAAAACGAGGAGCGTCGCACACTTTTACGAGCGATTTCTCTGCGGCCTCGCCCCGAATTCAGAGGAGGTTCCGACTATTCCTCGAAATCTCCGATCGCGATCGCGGGCTCGCGCGGGAAATCCGCTGGACACCGTCCGAATCTGAATTTCGTTCTCTTGGACCGAAGCTCGTGTTTGCTCTGGTACGTACAACACTTTTATTAATTACCTTAAAAATCATTCTTATTATTCTTCATTTCATGTATTAATTACATACATTATTATATTGCATCGAATATTGACTTAAATACGTTACTATATTGCATCGAAACCCTCGGAAAATTACGCAAGCATTAATCAGTTTAAGTTTCTGTCAGAAATGCTAATTTGAATGTACAGTCAATTCTGCCCGATTTTTCTTCAGCTCGTAAACAAAAATAGACAATTTGGGAAGAGGAGATACGATTATCCACGCGGCTTATTTTTATAATTGCCAATTGTTAACAATTATAAAAACGAGGTGCTGGGCTCGAATAATCGTATCTCCTCTTCCCAAATTCTCCATTTTTATTCAAGGAAAATTAGGGAAAATTTACTGTACCTTTCTTGACAGTTTTGTGTATTTTCTTTTGTATTTTGCCACAATTTAATTTCTATAATTAATACGCATTGAATCATTATATATGATACCACTTCTCTTCCTTTGTACTCAATTAAGAATCAACTATCATAATACGACTTTCAGATATTTCATAGTTTCTCACACTTCTGACGAAAGTATTTAACATCTCATACATTCTAAGCACGAAATCATTATAAATCGTACTCCACGGCTTTTCGCAGTCCCTCGACACAAATAAGAAACAATTATCACAAGTTCTCAGAGTAGATCAAGATCGAGAAAATGTTCAGTTGCGTGTATCGATGTGCCTAATGAGACAATTCGACGACAAATATCCAAGAAACGAAGCGGAGTCCTCGACGTTCGTTCACTGATTGCCGTGGGCGTCGTTTCCGGCCGGTGCTCTGTTGTTATTGGATCGGTCAATGTCAATGCCGCGGAGGCACACTAGAAATATATTTCGTTCGGAAAGAAGGTCGTACAGTGATCGTTGCCCTCCTTTTTTTTAATGAATTCCTCTTGCACATTGTCAATTGACGAGGTTATGCTGGACCGACCGAATTTTATTGCATCACGATAAAAATCTTTCGCACGATTTTTACCTCCATCTTTTAATAATTATCTTTTATCACCTGAGAACGTGATACACAATAATTTACGAACGATGGGCGTGTTTATGGAGGTTCAGTGACAGGATTCACGACAAACTAAATCGTCTTGCGCGCATTCATCTGCACCTGATTTATAATACTATTACTACACCCAGCTTTATTTATTGTTTCCTGAGTTTCGTTACTGTTTTTGCTATTTAATTATAAATTTAATTTATACTATATATATTATAAATATATAATTATATATATATATATTATAAATTTAATTTGCTATTTAATTATAAAGCGGTAAGTGGAATTAGTAGGGTTGGAGGTCTCGTAGATGGTGTTGATTAGAAAAATCGAGGCTGTCATCGGCTGACAAATAACAGTACAATGTTAATTTATTAGCAACATAACTTATTCTTTATTCGGGTCAGCACACCGGCGAGCAATGTTCTCTTGATAGTCAATGTTCTTCTAATCCCCTCGACTGATAGGGAACCATGAGCCATCTTGTACAAGATTCTTCAGATACGCCGTCTAGTTTATACTTTCTTGGAAAATCTTCGATGGGACACGGTCACATCAGAATTACTAATGAATTAGCCAGAAGTTACAAGCCGACGAGTGCCGACAGCAACTCTCGATGCATAATTATCGTGTTTGACACCAAAGAATGTTTGTTTGTCTGTCCCACTGCGCTACTAAAATTCCGGACTCGGCAGCGTGCCTAATGGTTCTATCCTAAACTCGCTGTACCGTCTTATGAAGGCGCGAGGCAACCGCAAAAATTTCGATATATATATATTTTCGATTGGCTGGAATTCGCAGATTCGTGGATCCATGTACGAAGATTGTGGTACCTTGGTAGGAAGTTTTAAGAATTATTCCATAGGAGGTATGAATCATTCATGAAACGAGAGCTGATTCTCGAAGCTGCTTCTCGGAATTAGGAGTAGACCAGGAACCAAAAACGAACCGGTTTTAGAAAGTGCTCTGCGATTGCTTCCTACAGTTCGTTCCCATTGTCCTCGTAAAATGATTGAACTTCGTCGGATGTTTTTATTTATCTAACCGATCTATAAACAATTCCAGGACCGTCCCGATCATGTGAGAAACAAAAGACTACCGTGAAAACAGTCTAAGAAATCCAGAAAAGGTTCAATGCGTACACTATGATTAGACAAGTTCTTCTATGCTCCAACAAGCTAGCTATCTGACTCTCTTAGATAAACCTTAAAACATAGATAACCCTTTCCTCAAAAGCTACGAACTCCCTACAAACCACCTCCGAATAAAACGCCATCATCAAAATAGTATAACAACCCTGAAGAAGTTGGCTACTTATATTACGATTGGACAAATTGCTTCATACCTTAACAATACAATCATTGAACGTACCCTTGAAGTTTTGACGCATCAACCCTCTTTTAAACAATCCTGAGATCATCCCCAACGATCTTGAAACTAAACGCCACCATAAAAGCAGCAAAGAAACCTGACAGAAAGAAGTTGACTACCTATGATGATGTAGGTACAACCACATTTTAATAAGCTAGCTATGAAACTGACCCTCAACCTTTCAGACCTAACAAATTGCTGTCTTAAAAATCCTAAGGATCTCCGAGGATCCACCTGAAAATATCTCAAGGACAAAGCAGTACATATCTTATATTAACATTTTAGCCAACTCAGTCCTAGTCCTAGTCCTAGTAGTGCTGGCTCCTGGTCAAGGTCTACTAGTTCTTTCAATAATTCCCACTCCTTTGTCTTATGTAACAAAGGATTGCCCCGTTGAGACCACCAAATAAAAATAAGAAGAAAGAAAATGAAATATGTAAGCCCTGAAAGATTTGAAGCAGCATCATCGACTGCCAAAGCACCGCAGCTGTCTCCCCAAGCCTTTCCAACTCGAACTGAGAGCTGGAACCGCGAAAAGGGCCCAGTTAGTGACCGGCAGCGATCCTTCATCGGCGCCGCAGTAGCGACCATGCTGCCTCGGAGCATCGGGTGTACGCATCGCGATCGCGTGCCGTTATGTTAATACTCGCTTGCAGGTCGGTTCTAACGTAAGAACGTAACGGTCGAGTTATGGCTAGGCGGGTTCAGGGCTGCGTGTCGACTGTCTCGGTCTCGGGCATCGCCTGCCGATTCCCGTGCCGGGCGTCTACCGTTTCAGCCCGACCAGGCCCCCCGATCATTGTCATTAGCTGCCTCGTGGATGGTTAGCATAGTACCGCTGTCGCGAAACAGTCCCACTCGCTCGGACAGAGCGACGAGCACGCGTACGATTGCAGTCGGAGCCGCGCTGCGTCGAGCTGCGTCGAGCCACATCCGCCTGGGACTGGTCTCGGGGACCGATAACGGTCTGGCGTGGGTCAGCACGCGCGGCAGGAAGCGTGCGTGCACGCACCGGGGCCAGGGCGCGGGTCCAAATCTGTCAGTAGGTCACCCGTGCCGCGACTGGCCCGACCTTGACCGCCAATGCCCAACAAAAGCATTTTCTTTTCGGAGGACTCGCTGGTGGCGTTGCTTAAACGATGCTGAACGATCCTTAACCGTAATCATTGCTAATTGAAGCCATTAACCGGGGAAACTGGTGATTAGCTCTGTTTAGTGAGCGGATCGCGTGTCGGTATTGTGTATGTATTGTTGGGTAAGAGGATCGTGCAGCAACTCGATGCTGGAGAATGTTCAAGTGTTAGATGTAGGAGCGAGTAGAGGTCTAAATGGACAACTTAGACGGATGGTTGATTTAATTTGACTTGATAGTTCGTTGTTAGTCAGTTTGAGAAGTGGTCTTGCATAAACGGTAGCTAGAGAATTTGCTGAGTTCATAGACGCAACAGGGGATCCTTGAAGTTGGTAGACCTTTGAGAATAGTAGTCTTATAGTAGTAGTAGTAGTCTAGAAAATTATCGTAGTCTTCGATAATCATCTACAAGCTATCCTGAGACCTCGGATGATCCTTCAAGGATGGTCCTTAAAGTTTAAGTGGTTTTTGAAGGACAATCCTCGGATCTTGAGTGGTCCTTCAAAAATCATGACTCGACTTACGGTGATTCTTCAAGAATAGTTCTCAAATCTTAAGACATTCTCCTTAAGGTTCAAAAACATCGTTAACAGATCTTGTGTCGCGATCAAACTATAGTGACGCACGTACATCGCATAGCTGCTTTTTTCATTTTTTTTTCTTTTTGTTTTGTTTGTCAATCTTGAAGAGCGCTATCGCGCCGCTTGGTTCTCTTCGCAATCAATTAAGACAAGCGCTATTACGCTGTTCGCCACTTTCCGACCGTGTTTTCTGAATCACCCCTGGGACTCAAACGGTTAAAAAACATACCGAGTCCTTTCGGGACCATCTCACAGAGAACGATCCTCGTCCACGATGGGGTACCGTACTCCAATCAACAGCAAATCTCTCAGAAACGTCAAGATCCTCGCCTTGCGCATTCGATTTATTGCATCAAGATACACCCAGTCACCGCATATATTCGCAAGCACACTCCAGTCCATTATGATGCAGGAAGTCTTTGTCATCACGCGAGGCACCGGTCGAAATTTCTCGGTACCGTATTCGCGCTACTANGTGTCGACTGTCTCGGTCTCGGGCATCGCCTGCCGATTCCCGTGCCGGGCGTCTACCGTTTCAGCCCGACCAGGCCCCCCGATCATTGTCATTAGCTGCCTCGTGGATGGTTAGCATAGTACCGCTGTCGCGAAACAGTCCCACTCGCTCGGACAGAGCGACGAGCACGCGTACGATTGCAGTCGGAGCCGCGCTGCGTCGAGCTGCGTCGAGCCACATCCGCCTGGGACTGGTCTCGGGGACCGATAACGGTCTGGCGTGGGTCAGCACGCGCGGCAGGAAGCGTGCGTGCACGCACCGGGGCCAGGGCGCGGGTCCAAATCTGTCAGTAGGTCACCCGTGCCGCGACTGGCCCGACCTTGACCGCCAATGCCCAACAAAAGCATTTTCTTTTCGGAGGACTCGCTGGTGGCGTTGCTTAAACGATGCTGAACGATCCTTAACCGTAATCATTGCTAATTGAAGCCATTAACCGGGGAAACTGGTGATTAGCTCTGTTTAGTGAGCGGATCGCGTGTCGGTATTGTGTATGTATTGTTGGGTAAGAGGATCGTGCAGCAACTCGATGCTGGAGAATGTTCAAGTGTTAGATGTAGGAGCGAGTAGAGGTCTAAATGGACAACTTAGACGGATGGTTGATTTAATTTGACTTGATAGTTCGTTGTTAGTCAGTTTGAGAAGTGGTCTTGCATAAACGGTAGCTAGAGAATTTGCTGAGTTCATAGACGCAACAGGGGATCCTTGAAGTTGGTAGACCTTTGAGAATAGTAGTCTTATAGTAGTAGTAGTAGTCTAGAAAATTATCGTAGTCTTCGATAATCATCTACAAGCTATCCTGAGACCTCGGATGATCCTTCAAGGATGGTCCTTAAAGTTTAAGTGGTTTTTGAAGGACAATCCTCGGATCTTGAGTGGTCCTTCAAAAATCATGACTCGACTTACGGTGATTCTTCAAGAATAGTTCTCAAATCTTAAGACATTCTCCTTAAGGTTCAAAAACATCGTTAACAGATCTTGTGTCGCGATCAAACTATAGTGACGCACGTACATCGCATAGCTGCTTTTTTCATTTTTTTTTCTTTTTGTTTTGTTTGTCAATCTTGAAGAGCGCTATCGCGCCGCTTGGTTCTCTTCGCAATCAATTAAGACAAGCGCTATTACGCTGTTCGCCACTTTCCGACCGTGTTTTCTGAATCACCCCTGGGACTCAAACGGTTAAAAAACATACCGAGTCCTTTCGGGACCATCTCACAGAGAACGATCCTCGTCCACGATGGGGTACCGTACTCCAATCAACAGCAAATCTCTCAGAAACGTCAAGATCCTCGCCTTGCGCATTCGATTTATTGCATCAAGATACACCCAGTCACCGCATATATTCGCAAGCACACTCCAGTCCATTATGATGCAGGAAGTCTTTGTCATCACGCGAGGCACCGGTCGAAATTTCTCGGTACCGTATTCGCGCTACTAAATCTATTCGCGGACAACATTCAAGCTTGTTGAACGAGGTTCGCGTGCGCCTCGAGTTCGTTCGCTGCTGCGGAAAAGTTGCACGGGCCGCGATGCAATCTTCGAAAAAAAGAACCGACGCCTTCCGTGACTCTGACCACTGTCACGCGGATTGTCATTGTCTAACAGTCGGTAACAGGACCGAGCTAAAAATAAAAAGCGACGGAACAGAGACCCGGTCTCGTTCCGAACCCGCCCGAACGTTTGATAAATTAATCCGAAGCCCCGCACCTTGATTCCACCGAAAGCTGATCTCGATCCCGCCACGGCCCGACGAAGCAGCGTGAAAGCGTTACTTCGCAAGTGCATTTCACGGCGAACAGCCGGTAATCACCGTTGAACGAAGTTTCTACGCGCGACCGGTCGTTCGACGCTGCTTAGGACGCTTTGAAGCGCCGTAAGGAGATTAATGAGTCACCGGGAGGAGACCGTTGGCACGTGCAGAATGCGCCGAAAAAGACGCCGCAAAAAAGGAACCAATATTTATGCCGGTTTTCCTAGGACGCTGACAGCAACGAACGAGACGAAAAGCAACGATCGACGGAGTTCGTCAGCCTCAGCCGTAGGGGTGGCGGTAAGCAGGGTAGCCAGGGTAGCCCAGATGACCTTGGTAGTCGTTTCTGTGGGCCCATGCCTCCTCCTGTCCGTATCCTGCGGGATCAAGAAAAAACAGTTTCAAGAACGAAGTGTGCTCGACGAGCACAGTTCGATCGACGTTGTCGACGAACCCTTATGGCCAATATACACCCTCGTCCATAAGTTTCCGGAAACTTACATAATTGTGAATACCGTTCAAATATCTCACAAGTATAGTTTATGTTATGAATTAATTACGTTCACCTACAAACTTGATGTTATCCTTGGATATTACGAGCAATTTTTTATTATGAGCGAAGAAACAATATCGCTTTAATTGCTCACGCGTATATCGGTGAAAATATGTGTACGTGTATCACTGTATATTATACTAATAAATTACTCGTCTCACCTTTCGTCTATCCGTCTTCCACGATCGCGATCTATTCGGGAATACGTAAGTGTCCGGAAACTTATGGACGGGGGTGTAGTTCGGCAAATGAGCGACAATCACGCTCCAGCGACGTTGAACTTAGCCATGTACAAGGTCGCGTGATTATGTGAATTATCGTCGTGCTCGAAACATTAACGAATTCGGTCACTCGTGCAGCCCGTAATCCCGCGGAATCGTCGAACGTTATGTAACTGTTGTTGACGGCAATCTTTCATTGGTCGTTCGATCGATTAGAAGTATTCGGAACGATCGTTCAAGGACACTCGGAACGTCCTCGGCTGTTACAAGACCGATCAGCTGACGGAACGCGGCGGTTTGGGTTCGTTTACCTGTCGGATAGTCGACAGGCGCTTCCGCTGCTGTGGCCCAGGTCTGATGCGGATACATGTGGGGTTGTGGCTGCGGCACCTTGCAGATCTTCAGGTGGGACAGGATCGATGGCAGCAACAATGAGCCGAGGACCAGTAACTTCTTGATGAAGTGCACGCCGAGGAACACTGGCAGAAGCAACAGCTTCAGCTTGATCAGGTTCAAGAGGATTAGCAGAGGCAGGATCACCGATTTTTTCTTCTTGAACAGCCTCCAGTCGTCTGCGGATTAGACGATCCACATAATTTAACGAAGAATATTGAAGTGTATCCTTCGTAACCTTTCGGCTCTTTTTGACGAATATACTCGTCACGAAGAAGTGGCAATATTTTCTGCTATAACGAGCGTACTCGTCGAAATTAGCACACCGCTTAAATAAAAGAATGTTATTTATCGTTGCACTAATTGCATGATAATTAGCTGATGCTCTTAATAAATTGAGAATTTTATTCTAATTTAGTGCTTTCTGTCGGATCAAAACGTGTTTAGTCAATTAAATAAATAAATATACCCTACAAAATTATCTAAAAAATGAAGAATAGTATGAACCGAAATTAATGAAATCATCGAAATTACCATCGGACTCCTTCCTGGCCTGCAATAGGGTGATCTCGCCCTCGTCCATGATCATCGGCATAGTTCCAAAACTTCTCCCAGCCATAGCATTGTCAATGGTGTAGACAACAGCGCGTTTCGTTAATAGGTCCTCGACGATGTCCCTGGCGAAGTTCAAAGCGTCGATTGCGCCGCTCTTGAACACCCTAGACTGTGGCACTTTCGGAAGAATCAACTGGCTTGGCAGAGACGGTATCCTGACAACGCGAAGCGGACCATAGCTGAACTCCTAAAGCGAAACGAGGAAGTGCAAGTTTAGGGGGCGCAATGATACCCTAACGAGGCGTGAGAATAGATTTTCTGGGCAATGCTCGACTTGATGACTTTCTAGACTTTCGATCTTGGCGCAAGCTATTAGCACCTTCGCATGAACTAGCGAGTTGTTGACCGTGAACGAGCTACTGTTTCTTTAATGAATTGGCGACGCGGTGTGAAAACGTCTTCCCTTTCCTACCTTCCGTTTCCAAAACGAAGAAAGTTGATTCAAGACGACAAAAATGTGTTGGAGTCAAGTGTAAGTGGTGTTTAAAAATGATTTGATTGTTTGCACGATTTAAAAAGCACTTGTTGACATATTTTTATTAAGTCAGAGGTGGGATGCGGTTGTAAAAGATGTTAGCAAGCGATTTCGTAATTTAATTAACGCTTGGAAATATTTCTTTAATTGATCCAAGAGAAGAAAATGATTGTAAAAAGTGTTACTAAGTGATTATATAATTCAGATAACACTTGGAAATATCTTCCAATTGGGGTCCAAGAGAAAGAAATAATTATAGAAAATTTACGAAATGTTTACGATATAAAAGATACGTGAAAATATTTTGAAATTTATCCAAAAAAGAGAATGAATGTTTAAAAATGAACCAGGTGTTCGTGCAACTTCGAAGAGTCCAATAAATATTTTGTAATCGACTCCCAAGAGACAGGCAATGTTTATAAATGCCCCAAGTGTTTATGTTAAGTATACGACACTTGAAAAGACATTTAAATTGATCCAAGAAATAAAAATAATTATTAGAAAGCCTACCAATTACTTACACAAGTTGAGGGACACTTAGAAATAATTTTCTATTGACCTAGTATAAAAAAACGGTCATCTAAATTGATCCAAGAAATAAAATTATTAAAAGTGTACCAATGATCTACACAACCTGAAAGACACTCGGAAAAAATTTTCAACTGAGCGTACAGAAACAATTATGACAAGTCCAAGTTTCACGAAGCCAGAAGCGAGGTAAGTGGCCAAGTGAGTCCGGTGGCCTTAATTAAAAAATAAAAGCCCGAGAAAGTGGCGTCCCACTGCAGCAAGTTCAGTGTTAGTACTCTCACTGCCACCCACGTGTAAACATAATAGTCCACGGCTCACGTGCATGTTCTACTAATCCCAAGGAATAAACAATCCCGCTAACCAGAATCCCCGACTCTACGTTCCGAATAATCTCTGCGCCAAATAAAAATCCTTCTACAGCGACACTTCGCGCAGAAGAAAAGCACAATACCTTCTCCCTGACGACACTATTCAGCCATCTAACAACCCTGAACTTCCCGCAGCTGAGAAAATCCCTCTGCATGGCACAGTCGGCTCTGCATCTCTCGACGAACACGCTGGTCGAGTTGTCGTACGCCAGACTCTGTCCGGCAAGATGAAGGACCACCATCAACAAAACGAGCCCCAGCCGCACGAGAAACGACTCCGGATGTCGTCGAACGCGCGTCTCACGCATAATGTCTCGAGTTCAATTTCGATCACTGGCTATCCGGCGCGAGGTCTCCTCGAGGCTGTTCCCATGGCCTTGGACGTGCCGAAGTTCCCGCGGAAATCGAGTCGGAGGCTGTCGCGACACGCCTGGATCTCGTTCGTGAACGAGATTAGGTCCACGATCTCACTGACACTGGTTAGAAGGTGTCTTGAGCATTTATACGTGGTGCATTTAGGTCGGTGGGGGTACCGGTCCACGGCTTAGATAATGTTGCATCGGAGACTGGAGCTTGGACGCGTTCGCTGCAGACAGACAGACATGCGGCCAGACCTGCAGCCGGCTGGCAATGGGACCGACACAAGCCCGCGCGAGCAATGGGACCGGCTATCGAATCGGAGGAAGTCGAATGCTCGAGATATCGAGCAATTTTCGCGGACCCAATGGCGCCGATTGTTCGGAGAACTGCGACCCTATTCGGGGCGTTGTTATTAACGGTTTTATAATCGCTCGATTAGGGGACGACCGCAACGCTGATTGCAAACGTGTGTCCCCCTTTTTGTCCAGGTGTCGCCGATGCGCCGCGGCGAACGCTGGCGAATGCGCGATGCAATTATGCGGAAACAGTTGTCTGGAGGTAATGAACCTCCATTGTCAGCTGGAGTTTATAGGGAAATGGATTTCGAAGCCAGTAGCTCGGTGGAGCAGATCTCTTCTGGGCGTTTGAATGAAGACAGTCGAAGGATTTTGATGTTGAACATTTGTTAATAGGCTGTGCTTTGTATGCGTTCGTGTCAAAAATAAATTGGCGCAATGCAAAACCGTGGAGACTCGAAGAGAAACCGGTGGTATAATTAAGTTGTACTCAATTAACACAATTTTTATTGCGCCGATTTAAATGCTATTGACAAGGTAAACATGATATTATAGAAAACGATAAAATTAAGACGCAGAAGTCAGCGTGATCCGAATACGATCTAATTATGCCATCCGAGTTATTTGATATGCACTCGTCGTCAGGATTTGTTGATTTGCTCTGCGATTTCAAATTTCCTCATTTGATATCAATTCGACGTGTCTGACCCATAACCACCGTACTCGCTGAGATTATGTTCTACTTTGCTGGCAGGTTGTTTCTATAGTAATTTTAAGGAGGAGATATCCTGACGATTATAATTAGGCAACGGAACTTTGTGCAAAATAAAATTTATCTACCTAGATTGCAATAAACCGCAGTCGAATAAAAATGTACTCGTTCTGTTAACAAATTTAGCTAATTGGAAACGATCTAACAGTGTTTTTAAATTCTTCGATTGTTTTTATCGTTCCATATTTCGCTTGCCCATTTTTCTCATAAACGCATAAAATCCGCTGTTATTATGTTAATTATTATTATTCATTAATTATGACGATTGTCCCCCTCCCCTTTTCAAGACTGTTTAAATATATTGGAGAACTCGATTAACAAGGATTAGATAAGAGCCTGACCTAATTGTTATCCTAGTTCTATTATCCATTTTTAATATACTTCAGGATCTTCTCTCTCTCTGGCGTCACCGAATCTAAATAGCTTCATCAATTTGAAATCAGGTCTCCCACAACTGATTAAATCGGTGAACCGAGTGAAATCTAACTCTGCGAATGCGAACAACAAGGCTACGTATTACGCGGCATTAACGTCAACATCAATTAAGATTTTTATCATTTGCTTCTAAAATGTTCTAAAATTTTCATATAAATAGCGACCAGAAAATTAGTAACGCTTAAGAACCCAAATAAAATCGCGATCGATGATAGAGTCACAAACCGAAGATCCATTATCTAACCGGTTGTAATTCTAGTTTCACATCGATGACGTCCCGGCAGTTGCTTTCGGCTTGCATCACTGTTACAGCAAGTCGATAACCAACGGCCTCGAAAGTAGGATCAACACGAACCGTGAAATGTTAAGAAAGTAGGTTAGACATTTGACAAAAATGAATCGCTGCTTATCGCATTAGTTTCTGCACGGCAGAATTTTGTTTACCCAATTTAACGCTAAACCTACCGCGGTCAAAGTGACCGCTTTTTTATTTCGCAATTCTGAAAAGTCTCAAGTCTCTTTCTCTAAGACTCTTTCGTGGAAAACGCTTGAATAAGTTATATTATTGGAGCAAGTTTTATAATAAAAACTTTACAAATTCTAAATAAATTCGGTCTTCTCACTTTTGTGAAGCAATACATGCCAGTTAGTATTATTGCTTGCGTTAATCATCTCATCTCCGATTTCCGAGCAAACCATTTCTCATATCTTTACTTTCTATTTTTATTTTCCCGCCGTTTCAAATGAGCCGTTTATTTTGAAAGTGGCATAAGTTACTTTTTCAAAAAAATCGAGTTAATGGTAACACTAATTACAATTGAACGGTATCTTTTCATTTAACCTTTTAGGTACGGCTGAATTCTGCGCGACGCTATTTCTCTGGACAGCAGAGTCTGATATATACTGTACAGAGTGTCTGTATATTGTTAAGACTGTTGTAAATCTGTCTCTTATACACATCTAGATGTGTATAAGAGACAGCTATAGTGGTGCGTCGTTCAGAGAGATGACATCCGCGGAAGCCACTATAGTGGCGCGTCGTTCAGAGAGATGACATCCGCGGAAGCCACTATAGTGGCGCGTCGTTCAGAGAGATGACATCCGCGGAAGCCACTATAGTGGCGCGTCGTTCAGAGAGATGACATCCGCGGAAGCCACTATAGTGGCACGTCGTGCCTAAAAGGTTAAAAAAGGTAAAAGGTAAAAAAAGTGACTTATGCCACTTTCAAAATAAACGGCTCAAATAGCGCACGCTCTAACGTTTTCTAACGAATCAACTCCGCGCATCGAATCCGCTCTTCGAATTCCAAAATGCCAGAGCCCTAATCTAGTTGTTTCGCTTCAGACCCCGAGGGTGTCCCGTGACTCCATTATTCCAAGAAGGTACAACCAAGGATCGCCATGATCGATGAAGTAGATTTTATCTTCCCAGATAAACGTCGCTGTAAAATTATACTACTTTCCTCGATCCCGGCGGTAGGTATCTACGCTAAATCACAGCGCAACGCTGGTATTCGTTGGATCTAGCGCAGCTGCTTGTTTTGAAATCGTTTGTTTCTACCGAGACACCGGTTCGAAGAAACAAAACGCCAGCGAACGCCGCACAAAAGTCTCGATCGCGCTCGATGCAGGTTTTGATCGGCACACTTCGGCTTATCATAGCCGGTGAACTGCCCCGGCCGTCGCTGATGTCGTCCACTGTTTACAGGAATGTCGGTGCACCGTCGTAAATTAAATCGCATTGCGCTGGAAAGTCCCCGACGACGTCAACGACAATAAAAGACCAGTTTCGAAGCTGTAAAACTGCATTGACAGACCCGAGGCATTTGGTAACGTCGCAGCATCCTTATCCCGCGTCGTCTACCCTCCTCGATCACCATTCGATTCATTCTCATTCTCTCGAAACGGTACTTCGCTACGTGTTTATTTATGTTTTTATGCCGAGACGGGAATGCCTAAGTGATATCGTGCCGATTGGATTTCGATCTCTCCGAACATGAAAAGCGATTTGTTCGGAACACAGGCTCGCGCCCAGTTTCTCGACAATTATGATTTACGCTCGATCAGAAATTAATATGCTCGCCGGTGGCGCTGTATCGAGATCGTACGATTTTCTATGATCAATGGGTCACCGGAACGATTGCCGGAGCTGTGGTTGCTACGGGCTTCGGATAACAGACGTTGCTCGATACACGTTCGCGCACCTGCTGCCCGTTCTTCGATTGACAAATGTTTTTGATAGTGGGAGGATCTAGATAGTAGATGTCTGGTTTGAGATCGAAAGCACAAGTGTGCGTGCCGTTGTTGTGTATCTTTTGCGAATGAAACGAAAAGTGGAGGTGTGTGTAGTGTTAGTAACGACGTTTACAGGTTTTCACCAATATTATGCGTTAGGTTGGTGCGTATGAAATGTCGGATTTTTGAATGAATAGAAGAACGTTCGTATCTTCTTTCGGAAGATGATTATTTAGTTAAAATGCGACCTGTTTGCTTCGATATACTTTCCTAACACGACTTGTAAATAATATAATTGTAAATAATATAATTGTAAATAATATAATTATAAATAATGTAATTGTAAATAATATAATTGTAAATAATATAACTGTAAATAACATAATTATAAATAATATAACTGTAAATAATATAACTGTAAATAATATAATTGTAAATAATATAACTGTAAATAATATAATTGAAAATAATATAACTGTAAATAATATAATTATAAATAATATAATTGTAAATAATATAACTGTAAATAATATAATATTAAATAATGTAATTGTAAATAATATAATTGTAAATAATAAACAGTAAAGTCGGCTTGTAAAAAAATTACACGAATATCCGCAAAGAATTCGTGTAGAAAAAATTCTTTTCGGCAGAACGTGACGCTGGCAATGCAACTGGCTAGAAATTGACACAACTAAAAATGTTCGCCATCGTGGAAAATTTTTAGCGATTCTTTAGAAAACCCTGCAAGAACTGATCTTAACAAAAAAGCTATTCTCCGTAGCCCACTTATTAATTAACGCCATTTAGATCGCATCATTGGACAACCTCTCTCTACAGAAGAAAGAACTGTGAAAATTTGATTAGCATACGGATTCGCACAGTTGTAAACGACTGTGATCGGCCACGTGCTGCCGCTTTCCGATTATGTCTGTTAAGCACTCGGATTGGCGTAAAATCTGGATCGAAAAAGCTGGCAGAAAAACATGTAGAAGCTGTAGAACGGTGATGATGGGTTCGTCCGTGGCGGCGATAAAAGATGGTAGCACGCCTTTCACTCGTGCATCCCCAAAAAAAGTGCACGCAGAAATCGTCGAGGGGCCCCGATAAGAACCAGATTCCGGGGGCCCGAGGCGGAATCCTCGGACACGCGGCGATCGCGACGCAACCTGCTTACCCTGATAATTCGGCGACCCAGTTCTTGTGGCATCGCCAGGATATGAGTCGATAATAACCTTGCACCCGATTCCCCGATCCAGATAGCTTGGCGACGCCCGGAAACAGGGAGCCCCATTGGCGAACACGATCAGTCGTCACACTGGTCCAGAATATTAATTCGTCGAGCGAGGAAAAAGGATCCATAAAAAATGTGCGAAATACATACAGGG